CCGGTGTGGGGAGCAAACCTTTCTTACAAAATCATCGCCGAAGTCGCAACCACTACTTCGTACTGTTGTGCCCAGCGCGGGCTGGCGACTAGTTGGTTTGGAGGTGACAGCGTTGCGAATGACCGAGGGTCCTCGACGTATGTCTCACCGTCCAGGAGCGACACTGACTCACGCTGCTATCTGGTGTTCACGAGGTGTTTGTCGCGCTGGAAGCGGAGCGTCTCTGTAAGTTTGTATCCCTGGTGATGTTTGTGCCTGGAGAGCACTATATAAGTGGTGCTCTTCAGGCACAATCTTCCTCAGCCTACTCAAGCTCAACTGATGAGGGGTGAATTCCCCGAAACACTGTGTATTGAGCAGGGAGTGGTGCTTTCTTGCAGGTTTGCCGAGTCGAAGGTTCGATGGACTTCTCGTGTGCTCTGGATGGCAGTCGTGAGTCAGTCAAGTGTCAAGTAAAGTCGGCGGAATAGCGCGAGCTCCGGTGTGGGGAGCAAACCTTTCTTACAAAATCATCGCCGAAGTCGCAACCACTACTTCGTAATAATAATAAGGTACATTTTTATTTGAATTCGCAGAACCAAACGGGCGGTGTCGCCCAATTACATGGAAGCGAATGGAAACAGTAAAATATTGTAGGAAATAGCCTAACATGATAGCAGGGTGTAGTACAAAGCAAAGAACGCTCAGTCAATGAATAACGTTAACGTTAGAATACAACAACGGGGAGGCGGTAAACAGCACATGACTGGTACTGTGCAAACGTTCAAAGATTCCTGTAGTGTTCAGTAGTGGGTGCTACTGCTAGCAAGACAGAACGGGAGGCAGGCTTGTTTGAACTGGTGGTACTAGGTAATACCACGCACGTCGGATGGCAGGGTGTTCCATAAAATGGACCCGCGAGCGGTTGGACGGTCGTGGCCGGCTTTGGAGGCAGATTTGGGCACTCGAAGGCCCAAGCTGCGTTGTGCGCGCGTTGTTCGAGTACTGGGATGCTCCAGAAGGGCTTGCAGTGCATTGCTTGCCCGACCATTCGAGCAACGCCAGATCATAATAAGGGTCTTTTGCTTGTGGAGCTCTTCGATGCCATACAGCTGCAGACGAGCAAGCAGAGGTTGGGCGCTTGTGCGAGGTGGCAGGCCGAATACGGCGCGTGCCGCACGGTTTTGCTGGACCTGAAGGCGGGACCGCTGGTCTTGTCGAAGGCACCCAGAGAACGCCACGGACCCGTAGAGCAAATCTGGCATCACAACGGATTTCACGTACTGCTCTCTGGACTTTCTTGTAAGGCAACGGCGGGCTCTCCAGAGTGCTCCCACCTTCTGCGAGGCCTTCTTCACAACATTGTTAACGTGTTCGTCAAATCGAACGTGCTCGTCTATCGTGATGCCCAGGTACTTCGCATGGGGAACTGCTGGTAGCGGGTTTCCACGGCATTTGACAGTAATGTCTTGGCCGGAAATTCGCAGGACATGGCTTTTGCTAGTGTTCAGGATTAGATTCCGTTCCTGGAGGTGGTAAGCAATCTCGGTTGTAGACGTTGTTAGAACTCGCGATACTTCCTGGCAATCAGGGTGGCTGAACGTGAGAGCAATATCGTCAGCAAACTGCACTGAGATGGACGGATTGGCAATGGTGGGCACATGCCTGGTGTAGATGTTGAAAAGCACGGATCCGAGAACGGAACCCTGCGGGACGCCACATGAGCATGTGCCACTGACACCAATGGATCCAGCGATTTGCACTTGTTGGGTGCGTCCTTCGAGGTACTCTGCAAACCATTGGAGTGCAGTGCCGTGAAGGCCAACTTCGAAAAGATCGCGTACAAGAATGTCATGCTTGACTTTGTCGAAAGCCTTCGACATGTCCAGCAAACACACACCACTGGCTAGTCGCGCGTCCTTTGCATGGAGAATGTTCTCCGTCAGGAGTACCAAAGCGTCTTCAGTGCAGTGGTTTGTGCGGTATGCAAATTGCGTGGTCGGCAGGACGTCGTTTGCCGCGAGGAACCTTGTAAGCTGGCGATGTACTACCTTTTCAAGCAGCTTCGCAACAATTGGTAATAATGACACAGGTCTGTAGTTAGTGGCGACTGTTGGGTCCCCTGCTTTGTAAAGCGGCTTTACCAGGGCGTGTTTGAACGGCTTCGGTAGGCGACCGGAATGCAAGGAGGCATTGAAGAGGTCGCATAAGTGCGGGGCAACAATATCACTGCAGGCTCGCAGCAGACGGCCAGGGATCTCGTCACTGCCTGTAGCCTTGTCAGGATCGATTGTGGCGAGTAATCGCTGTACTGCGGGACAGGTCGTTGGCGTGAGAGCTGATAGTGAGTTGCGGGTGCAGGGACCATGGGGTATCTGTAGGGTGTCCGGACGACTTGGATCAGTGACAATACTATTGAAGGAGCTGCTCACTGCAGAAACATCGCATACTGGGTCCTGCCTTGCCTTGGAGCGGCCGGTTACCGCGTTCAAGGTTGACCACATTCTCCTTGGATCATGAGAGTGCTGCTCACATTGTCTGGTGAAAAAAGCGTTTCTTTTCTTGCGGATTGCGTTGGATGCCTGAGACCGGGCTGTTTTATACCGGGAGAGTAGGATGTCATTTCCTCTATCTCCTAGCCAGCGCTTGTGTAATCTGTTTTTCTTTTGCGTGAGTTGGTACGTATCCTTGTCGAGCCAAGGTAATCTCGCAGCAGCTCTCTGGCGTCTTGACGAGAGCATGATGGGTGCATGTATGTCTAGAACTGTTTTGAACCCTTCATAGAAAGCCGTCCACATGTCGTCAACATCCATGTGGGCGGATGTAGGATTAGCGCTGAGTGCTTCGGCGAGGTCACACCGGAACTGGTCGATATCAATGTTGCGTAAGTGGCGACGCTTTTGGCATTGCCTACCTGGACTAGTTGTGGGTATGGCGATATGGAGGTTCGCCATCACCGCGTGGTGGTCGCTAATCGAACATTCCATGACAACGCAACTCGAGACAAAGTTATGGTCTGCTAGTACGAGGTCGATTACTGAACCATGATTCCCACTTGGAGTCGGCCGTGTGGGGGACTTCACCAAATTCGAGATGCCAAACATATTGCTGAGGTCTTGCAGGTGTGTACGATGGTGGCTGTGAGTTGTCATGTTGACGTTGAGATCGCCAATAATGGTCATGTGTGGCGCTTGCGCTTGGGCCCGCTGCAGTGACTCTTCAAGGTCCTTCCAGTAGTCAATCCCCACGTCTGGAGCTCGGTAGACGCAGGCCACTGCATGTTGACCCTGGCCGCCTTTGATCGATATCCAGACAGCTTCTAGGCCGTTCAAAGACAGTTCGGGACAAGGTCGGATTGGCAAAGAAGATTTGTAATATATACACGTACCTCCTCCTCGTCTACCCACGCGGTCTGTCCTTGTGAGGTTGTATCCAGGAATGGCTACTTCTCCGTCACCAATAGTGCTGTCTAGCCAGGTTTCAGCCAATCCAAAAATATCAAAGTCCTGCACCTGGAGGAGTGCTGTTACTTCATCTACTTTGTAGCGCAAGCTACAGACATTCAAAAAACCTAGCTTAAGAGTTCGGGTGTCCTGGGTGCTCACCGGAAAAAGGGAAGCGGGAGGCTGCATATCAGCACGAGGCAAAAAGGAATATGTAGAAACAAGCGAGAAAAATGACAAGTGCATGCAACTGAGTGCTGTCCGCATGTATTGAGCAGGTCAAGGACCTCATTTGGTTGTACAACTCCCTGATTCTAGCTTCTGCAAGCCACGTGCAACCGGATACGACGAAGCTGTTTGTACACATTTCAACCAGTTTGTACACAAAACCATGCACCGGTATGCGGATCGCGAGGTCCGGTTATGTTGTATGCGTAACATAATAGACATCCTTAGGAAAAGTACGATAACGCTAACTTTTACGGTACTCACTCCCAGCCGTGACAAAAGACGTTATCGGATAACCGAAAAACGTTACACAGCTCAAAATAACGGGCCGACTTTCGTTATGGTAATTCTTCAAAAAATGCAAAAACTCGCATTGTTTTGTAACTGGCGGGAAATAAAAAGCACGTGCAGATCGAGATGAGAGTCGAGATTGCTTCCTCTGGTGACACTTAGCTTTGTTGGCGAGTTTTTCCTTTCAGCTGACAATGTCTGCGTCCTCTGCGTCGTGCCTTTCACCCTCTATCCCACCTGGGAAACAAAGGACCAGTTCCACGGCACGGTACTCCTGAGGAAGAAATTCATCGGCCTCTCCCAGACGTGCTGGAGCTGGAGAACCCTTACAGTCTTCGGTGCTGCGTTTAGGAAAGGTTTTCTAAGGACATGGGAACAGCGAAAACTCATTTTCGCCGTGCTTTTGCTATTCCAGAGTAAAAGACCTCGCCAAGGTATTCTTTCGGAACGACAGCAAACTAATCCCTGGTTCAACATTTTGAATTTCCCGCACCTGTTTCTACGAAAATTCATATCGCCATGGTTGTCACGACTACTTCGTCTCAACTATAACGTACATTGTGCTAAGGGAAAAGTCAGCTTGAACGATCCGAAGTACGGAAAGGTTTGCGTTTACGTTAGCGTTTTTTTAGCTAAAGATATCAGATTCTAATATGCTGCACATCGTTAACCAGCGATTTTCTTTCGGATGGTGAGGGATCCAGATAAAAGAGGACCGGATAAGTGAGGTCTTACTGTATTGAAATTTAAGGTATGAAACAGATGCACCGAAAGTACTGAAAATAAAAGTACACCAAAAATTTGGAAAATTACAGACAGACCTTCAAACTACTGTAAAAGCCATTATTCTAATGAGGCGCATATAATATAACGATTTCCCAAAATTGACTGGTTTACGTGTACCAAAGGTAACGATTCTCACTCATTCTCAACGCTCAATAGAACAGTATATGTATCGATTTCTGTATCCTCGTTAACTCGTTAGAATTTGCACTTCGTTATTATATTGGCTTCAACAGTACCCCATTACGAGATAGGAAGGCATCACATTCAACTTACCACGGACCCTGGAGGATAACAACCTGTATACCTTATATCCAAACTCATGTATGTCTTGGATCTCAGAGATTAGACGATCTCTGCGGAAAACACACACAGAAAATCCACACGCGCATATAATGCGAATCTGTGCTTCTTGCATATTTGATTGCACGTCCTGTTACAAGATAAATCTCATTATAGGGCTTAAAGTCGATGACATTGGAAGTCGACATCTAACGACAAACAACTACTTTCTGACCCACTCTGCCGATGGCGAAGTACAGTATGTGATGGATCCACGCCCCCCCCCCCCTCCCCCCCCCCCCCCCCCCCCCCTGTCACACTCATGTGTTTTTCTGTATCAGGATTGGTTCCCTGACCGGGAGGGCCTAGTCCAGTTTCTACAGGTGGGTGTGTCACTATGCAAACGTTTATGGATCCATAACAAACTGGATCCAAATGGATCCAAACTCAGCGTTGTTATGACTCCGGGCTGGCTGTCACGTAGCTCGTTTTAGCTTTCAAAGGTCATGTTTAGTGGCCCAGAGATTGTCTTCCAAGAAGTTATAATTATGAATATAGACTACATGGATGCAGCTAATGGGATTCCGGTCTTTGACCACTTTGTGGTGGGTCTAATCTACTTACCTCCCACCGTTTAGGAGCTGCATCTGCGCCTTTCATCCTAGAGGGTGATGGCGTTCCTACGGCGGATGCGGAAAACTCGGCTTCCAGCCGAGTCTCACGCGAAACGTAAAATTTATTTATTCCCGTAGCTATGCAGAAGACGTTACTTCAGTAACGTCTGGCGCTAGCCAGGGTCCACACAGCTTTAATTTGGTGTTTGTTTGTTTGTTTGTTTATTTGTTTGTTTGTTTGTTTGTTTGTTTGTTTGTGTCACGCCTGGCGCTATCCCGTATCTGTCCCGTACTGTACCGTACTAGCAAAGACAGCTGGCCCCGATATTTTTGTTTGTTTGTGCCATCGAAATGCCTGGCGCTATCCCGTACCTGTCCCGTACCATCAAGAGTACGGTACCATCAAGAGAATGAGTATATATGCGAAGTGTATCGGGGGAATGCATTCAGTGCAGCAACATTTTGTGTGGATTTGTGTGCGAGGCCGAGATCCCACTAGCAGGCTGGCTGGGCCGCCTGTCGACCAGCCCGGGAATGGCATGTAGGCCGATAGCATAATAATTATAACGTATATACAGTCGTGTGGATGTATAGCAGGGAGTCATATTATGTAACAGGCAGGCATAGTGGAATGGTCTAAGACCATTATTGAGAAACAGAGGGTACCAGGTTCAAGTCCTGCTTGGAAGCGGAAGGAATTTTTCCAGCCGTGCTGCGACCCACAGTTAATTGGGAACTCGTGGCCTGGCACGAGGGTAACATGGATGCAGCTAATGGGATTTCGGTCTTTGACCACTTGGTGGTGGGTCTGATCTACTCACCTCCCACCGTTTAGGCGCTGCATCTGCGCCTTTGATCCTAGAGGGTGGTGGCGTTCCTACGGCGGATGCGGAAAACTCGGCTTCCAGCCGAGTCTCACGCGAACCGTGAAATTTATTTATTTTTTATTTATATTATGTAAACGACTATCTGCTGTATGGGGAGCTTTTATGGAAAGAAATACGAAGTAGGGAGACGAGTAAATGCAATCAGAATGGATTTTAGTTGCCGTCAGTAAAATAATAAGAAGAAGATAAACGCCCGTGATCGGCAGAGTCAGCGCCGGTCCCAGGAAACGTCAGGACAGACATCCCGTCGACTCCAGAACGCCCGTGATCGGCAGAGTCAGCGCCGGTCCCATAGCTATGCAGAAGACGTTACTTCAGTATCTCATTGAAACGTTTTTGCAATACAATGATGTAGCTAATCAAAGGAAAAAGCATTTCCATCAGTTCTAACAACATGCACGAGGAGCTAGGCAACAAAGCATAGCGCAGGGCCCTGAGCTTCCAAGCTCTCTCGTATTTAGAGACTACATCATCACTGTGAATACTTAGCGAAAGTTGCGGCACAGCGATGCACTAGCAACTCATGCTGTATAGATAGGACCAAGAGTAGATAAACAAGAGTGTGCAACTCGCGGATGGGCTGGCCCAAGGCGGAAAGTTTTGTTGACGTAATATTTTCAACGACGCACACGCTGCGAGTCTTTTGGGAAGTCTCGCCTCGTGCACTGGGCAAGACTTTACCATTACAAAGTCGGTGCCCAGCACGTGCTCTCACACTGCTCTGCGGCAAAATGCGCGCGCTCTGTAAAACGGTGACATCAACAAAAAATTCCGCCGTGGACTGGGGTATCTGCATAGTGTGCAAGAGAGATGCGGAGTTGCACACTCTCGTTTACTAGTATCAAATCTTGATAGCACCCTAAAACGGTTCTACAAACTCACACTGTATGCATAGCACTGATAAGCGGTTCCACCGACTCACCACTATGATATCATTCGCGTAACCGCTATGAAGGCAAGGGGCTACCGGCAGTCAAGGCGTAGTGTGACCACGAATCAATGAGATCAACAGCATGCATACCAGCTAGGTGTTGCCTCCTAATTGCAGGACAATGCATCTAGGGAATTTTCACTACTGATGCTATTCTACTGGTGGCATGGTCAGCAGTCTCCCTCGTCCCCGAAACGAAACATTGTTCGGGGGGGGGGGGGGGGGGGGACCAAAATCACAATCGACCGGCACTGAACATATATATGTAAGCAAACGATTTGCGTCCCCGGGGATAGCAAGCTGCATTCGCTTTGTTGGGCGGGGGGGGGGGGGGGGGTGGTTCCAAGTAAGAAAGGGACAATGTTCGTTTCCTGAAAAGCAAAAAGCGTCTGAGATGATCCCTGGCCTTATGTATAGCATAATACTATTCTCTTTTAAAAGAGCATGACATATTTTTCAAGGGGCAAAGCAGCAGTTTATTCTTGCATCGTTGCACCGCTGCGGCCTTTCCAGTCCATAGAAAGTGTCTCAACTAATGATGTAGTTGCCTAACCTCCAAACACTCTTCACAATCTCTGGATACATGCGGGCAAAAGAAGGCGACTAACCGTTTGGGCAAGTTTGCAGTGGAACTTGCAGCTGTGGCTTCCTCAGAGGAGCTCTCCGCCCGAAATCTCTGCTCTGGAAAGGACGCCATGGGTTGACCTGAGCACACGCATGAGCATTGACGGCCACAGGGGCATGCCGGCATGCACGAATACGCACACGCGGCAATGCAGACACTCATTGCACGCACAGACACACACACATACGTGCACACACACACACACACACACACACACACACATACGTGCACACACACCCACACACCCACACACACGCATGCGCACGCGCGCCCGCACCCACGCACGCACACACACGTACACACACATACTCAAGTGGTCACACGTTCTGTGCTGCAACCTACCCAGCACACGAGCAGCACTCCGATGATGTAACAAACAACATCTCCTACAAGAAAATTGTCTCCTTTGACAAACGGTAAAGCATGCATGAGTGAGTGCGTGCACGCATGTGTGCGTATGTGGGTGTGTGGGTGCGTGTGTGTGTGGGGGGGGGGGGGAAGGGTGTATGTGTGTGTGTGTGTGTTTGTGTGTGTGTGTGTGTGTGTGTGTGTGTGTGTGTGTGTGTGTGTGTGTGTGCGTATGTGGGTGCGTGTGTGTGTGTGGGGGGGGGGGGGTGTATGTGTGTGTGTGTGTGTGTGTGTGCGTGCGCGTGTGAGTGTACCCAACAGCCACAAGTCCCACCAAGTTTATAGTAATGTTGGTAGCCGAAGGACTGGGGGGGGGGGGTCAAGGCTCCTCACATAGACTGTTCTTGATCTCATGTATTACAATCTATGTGCAGTTGATTCACCGTGCATACATTGCTATACAGTGCTTGATGACAGAGGTGAGTGTTCAAACAAAGCCAGCCATACAGCTACACCCATTACATGTACCGGGCATGTATTGCTACTTGCTTAACCTGTCCAGCCATGCCGCCACACACCCATGCACGCGCACAAACGCACACAGACCCACACCAGGGCCTGCCGGAACCGGTCCGGTTGGTCCGGTTGTCACCGGACCAAGTCTGGCTCAGGTCACCCCCTGGGATTCGTCTAAAACCGGGGAGAAAAATTCTGGGCACTCGATCATGCATACATTCTGTACATGCACCCATACTCACACAGTAGGCTATAAATTGTACATTGAAATTATTCACCTGCCGCAAGGCGGGCCTGCACACACATAATTATAATTATATAAAATGCTGCTGTCTGATGATCGCTGAAATGCGTGAAACTTAAGAGAGCGTGTCTGAGAAAGCCAGAAAAGCTGGGCTAGGCCATCCCTCTGATTTCGCTCAAATTTTGCAAGTAGGTTTCCTTTGGGGTCTACAACAACCAAGCGAAAGGGCTCGTTGCAGAACTTACGGATACCTCGGAACTGGGGACCACCTCGAAATGGGCCCAAAATGCGACTGAATTTTGGGTCCAAAAACGAGTGCTGGTACAGCGTACACAATGGAGCTAAGAACAAACCACCGCCACCATGCCAACATTACGCGACATAGCAGATCAATGGATTTGATCGAGTTGATCGACAATCAAGATCACAATCAAAATCTGGATGATCAGGTTGATCAGCAACATGATTTTTACGATGCTATGATGTATTATGGCATGCTGCTTGAGTGAATCATGAAGAGGGATGATGTCCTGGACTTCACGATATGGGGCTAGCTGCAACCTGTTTTCCAGGCAGCTCATTTGACATTTCGACCACATACTCGCCAAGTGCTTTTCAGGTGCACTCCGGAGAGATCGACCTGTTGGGTACGGAAATGCATCCACGGCTATTTCGTGTATCTGGTAAGTTGGTCGTGTGTTTTGTGCATTTTTAGGATGCCAACAGTAATTTTGTGTTTCACGCATGGATGACATCTGTTGCCGGTGCGACATAGCTTGACAAAGAGAATACTGTAGATTTCTATCGAAATAATGTCTCCATTCCCACCTGATCTGTATTCCTGCAACCAGATAACGTGATGGGCTCAACACATTATTGGTGTTTTGAGTATAGTCATTCGAGTCCTAGAAATCGAATTTTCATTACCAGCTGAATTTCAAAATATCCTCCTCCCCAGGTCGATGAAGTCGCGCTGACACCAAACGCTGCGTGGTCAACCAGCCCTACATTGTCACTGATTAGAGTGTCGACCTTTTGGAGACAAATAGCTGCTCGCTAAGACAGTTACAAGCAAACTTACGCTCGCTCCTCACTGAAGCTGAGGAAAACCCACACCTCGCTGCATGCTGCAAACTCCGGCTACTCGGGTAAATGTACGCAAAAAAATCGTGTTGCTGATCAGCCTTCGTCATAGAGATTTCGATTCTGATCTAGATTGTCAATCAACTCGATCAAATCCGCCGATCTGCAATGTCACGTGGTGGTCGGCTCACGGCCAGTTTCAAGACTCAAAAATATGGTGCTTCGATCGCACAAATCGAGCTTTGTTCAATATAATTAACACTCCTGCAGAGCTTTGCTGCTAGTGAAATTTGAGTCGTTCAGGGAAGGAAATGCTTGTTGTTTGCAGTGACAAGGGTTGGCAGTTCAAATTTCTTGTCAGACTCGGTAGAGGTGTCCACGCTGCAGTGTTTGGCGTGCTGGTTTCTGGAGCAGTACCTGGTGTCGGAGCTTGTGGAGGCGCTTTTCGTCGTCGGGTAGGAAATTGGCAATGTTGCAATGTGGTGAAGTGAAAATATTCAAATTTGTTTATTTCCAGAACACGTGGAACACTTTCTACGGGACAGGTCCCAGGTGGTAGTGGAGATAGTCCACTGTCCTGCAGTGCATAGTTCAGAAAAATTGACGCCGTAAATGGTTCCCTCTATGGCCCTTGAAACTTGACTATTCTAGGGATGCAATTTAATGATATTAGGAGATGATGGCCATTGCTTTCCTAGATGTAGCCATGGCTCTATGTGCTGGTGATGTGAAGACTACTCAGGTGAGGTAATTTCGGCATGGCGGTGATTTGTTCTTTGCTCCATTGTGTACGCTGTACCAGCGCTCGTTTTTGGACCCAAAATTCAGTCGTATTTTGGCTCCATTTCGAGGTGGTCCCCAGTTCCAAAGTGTCCGTACGTTCTGCAATGAGCCCTTTCGCATGGTTGTTGTAGACCCCAAAGGAAACCTACTTGCAAAATTTGAGCGAAATCGGAGAGATGATTCAGCCCAGCTTTTCTGGTTTTCTCAGACATGCTCTCTTAAAGATACAGCCACACAGCCTTTCGACTCTGTTGTGTGTGTACACAATTATAAGTGCACCATGCATACGCCCGTCGCAAGAGAAGCACGCAAATCTGCAAATGCACTGGGTGTATCCCCCCCCCCCCCCCCCCGACTTGCTCTAATAGCTATGATAGCGGACAAGATCTGTATGAGACAGATGAAAACTAGCACCAGATAACACATACATACACACACGCATACACACACACGCACGCACGCACACACACACACACGCACGGACGGACGCACGCACACACACACACACACACACATACCCCCCCCCCCCCCCAAAAAAGACACACACACCCGCACGGACACACGGACGCACACACAAACACACACACGCATATACCCTCTCACCCCTCCTCCCATACACAAACAAAATGCTACTCACTGCCCATATCAGATGCGCCAGTAATTTCGGCAGTCATCGTAGAAGTGGCTGAAGTACGTTCTAACCGGGTTGTTGTCCTAGCTGCCGTCTCTACCCTTACCGTCGTTGGTGGCGCAACTTGGATAAGAAGAGACAAGACACAAGGAACAGGAATTTGATTTACCGTTTTTTTGAATTTTTTTTGCAAAAAAACACACACCATTTGACGGCACAAAGCAGCAAGGCAGCAATGAGACATATGGAATGGAAGGAGTGGGGGAGAGGCAGGGGCAGCTTGACCGACCATAGGGTCTCGGCTTCATTACAACCCAAGCGCTCCACAAAAACAAAAGATTTCAGAAAATACGCAGGGAGGGGGGGGGGGGGGGTAGATAACTCGGGATTACAGGGGAAAGTATGCACAATGAAAAGTTATCATTGACGCCGTAAATGGTTCCCTCTATGGCCCTTGAAACTTGACTATTCTAGAGATGCAATTTAATGATATTAGGAGATGATGGCCATTGCTTTCCTAGATGTAGCCATGGCTCTATGTGCTGGTGATGTGAAGACTACTCAGGTGAGGTAATTTCGGCATGGCGGTGGTTTGTTCGTTGCTCCATTGTGTACGCTGTACCAGCGCTCGTTTTTGGACCCAAAATTCAGTCGTATTTTTGCTCCATTTTGAGGTGGTCCCCAGTTCCAAGGTGTCCGTACGTTCTGCAATGAGCCAATTCGCATGGTTGTTGTAGACCCCAAAGGAAACCTACTTGCAAAATTTGAGCGAAATCGGAGAGATGATTCAGCCCAGCTTTTCTGGTCTTCTCAGACATGCTCTCTTAAAGATACAGGCACACAGCCTTTCGACTCTGTTGTGTGTGTAAATAATTATATATGCACCATGCATACGCCCGTCGCAAGAGAAGCACGCAAATCTGCAAATGCACTGGGTGTATCCCCCCCCCCCCCCCTCCCCCCCCCCCCCCCCCGACTTACTCTTATAGCTATGATAGCGAACAAGATCTGTATGAGACAGATGAAGACTAGCACCAGATAACACATACATACACACACGCATACACACACACGCACGGACGGACGCACGCACATACACACACACACACACACATACCCCCCCCCCCCCCCAAAAAGACACACACACCCGCACGGACACACGGACGCACACACAAACACACACACGCATATACCCTCTCACCCCTCCTCCCATACACAAACAAAATGCTACTCACTGCACATTTCAGATGCGCCAGTACTTTCGGCAGTCATCGTAGAAGTGGCTGAAGTACGTTCTAACCGGGTTGTTGTCCTAGCTGCCGTCTCTACCCTTACCGTCGTTGGTGGCGCAACTTGGATAAGAAGAGACAAGACACAAGGAACAGGAATTTGATTTACCGTATTTTTGAATTTTTTTGCAAAAAAACACACACCATTTGACGGCACAAAGCAGCAAGGCAGCAATGAGACATATGGAATGGAAGGAGTGGGGGAGAGGCAGGGGCAGCTTGACCGACCATAGGGTCTCGGCTTCATTACAACCCAAGCGCTCCACAAAAACAAAAGATTTCAGAAAATACGCAGGGAGGGGGGGGGGGGGGTAGATAACTCGGGATTACAGGGGAAAGTATGCACAATGAAAAGTTATCATTGACGCCGTAAATGGTTCCCTCTATGGCCCTTGAAACTTGACTATTCTAGAGATGCAATTTAATGATATTAGGAGATGATGGCCATTGCTTTCCTAGATGTAGCCATGGCTCTATGTGCTGGTGATGTGAAGACTACTCAGGTGAGGTAATTTCGGCATGGCGGTGGTTTGTTCGTTGCTCCATTGTGTACGCTGTACCAGCGCTCGTTTTTGGACCCAAAATTCAGTCGTATTTTTGCTCCATTTTGAGGTGGTCCCCAGTTCCAAGGTGTCCGTACGTTCTGCAATGAGCCCTTTTGCATGGTTGTTGTAGACCCCAAAGGAAACCTACTTGCAAAATTTGAGCGAAATCGGAGAGATGATTCAGCCAAGCTTTTCTGGTCTTCTCAGACATGCTCTCTTAAAGATACAGGCACACAGCCTTTCGACTCTGTTGTGTGTGTAAATAATTATATATGCACCATGCATACGCCCGTCGCAAGAGAAGCACGCAAATCTGCAAATGCACTGGGTGTATCCCCCCCCCCCCCCCTCCCCCTCCCCCCCCCCCCCCCCGACTTACTCTTATAGCTATGATAGCGAACAAGATCTGTATGAGACAGATGAAGACTAGCACCAGATAACACATACATACACACACGCATACACACACACGCACGGACGGACGCACGCACGCACATACACACACACACACACACACACACACACACACATACCCCCCCCCCCCCCCAAAAGACACACACACCCGCACGGACACACGGACGCACACACAAACACACACACGCATATACCCTCTCACCCCTCCTCCCATACACAAACAAAATGCTACTCACTGCACATTTCAGATGCGCCAGTACTTTCGGCAGTCATCGTAGAAGTGGCTGAAGTACGTTCTAACCGGGTTGTTGTCCTAGCTGCCGTCTCTACCCTTACCGTCGTTGGTGGCGCAACTTGGATAAGAAGAGACAAGACACAAGGAACAGGAATTTGATTTACCGTATTTTTGAATTTTTTTGCAAAAAAACACACACCATTTGACGGCACAAAGCAGCAAGGCAGCAATGAGACATATGGAATGGAAGGAGTGGGGGAGAGGCAGGGGCAGCTTGACCGACCATAGGGGCTCGGCTTCATTACAACCCAAGCGCTCCACAAAAACAAAAGATTTCAGAAAATACGCAGGGAGGGGGGGGGGGGTAGATAACTCGGGATTACAGGGGAAAGTATGCACAATGAAAAGTTATCATTGACGCCGTAAATGGTTCCCTCTATGGCCCTTGAAACTTGACTATTCTAGAGATGCAATTTAATGATATTAGGAGATGATGGCCATTGCTTTCCTAGATGTAGCCATGGCTCTATGTGCTGGTGATGTGAAGACTACTCAGGTGAGGTAATTTCGGCATGGCGGTGGTTTGTTCGTTGCTCCATTGTGTACGCTGTACCAGCGCTCGTTTTTGGACCCAAAATTCAGTCGTATTTTTGCTCCATTTTGAGGTGGTCCCCAGTTCCAAGGTGTCCGTACGTTCTGCAATGAGCCCTTTTGCATGGTTGTTGTAGACCCCAAAGGAAACCTACTTGCAAAATTTGAGCGAAATCGGAGAGATGATTCAGCCCAGCTTTTCTGGTCTTATAAGACATGCTCTCTTAAAGATACAGGCACACAGCCTTTCGACTCTGTTGTGTGTGTAAATAATTATATATGCACCATGCATACGCCCGTCGCAAGAGAAGCACGCAAATCTGCAAATGCACTGGGTGTATCCCCCCCCCCCCCCCCCTCCCCCCCCGACTTACTCTTATAGCTATGATAGCGAACAAGATCTGTATGAGACAGATGAAGACTAGCACCAGATAACACATACATACACACACGCATACACACACACGCACGGACGGACGCACGCACATACACACACACACACACACACACACACATACACACACATACCCCCCCCCCCCCAAAGACACACACACCCGCACGGACACACGGACGCACACACAAACACACACACGCATATACCCTCTCACCCCTCCTCCCATACACAAACAAAATGCTACTCACTGCACATTTCAGATGCGCCAGTACTTTCGGCAGTCATCGTAGAAGCGGCTGAAGTACGTTCTGACCAGGTTGTTGTCCCAGCTGCTGCCGTCTCTACCCATACCGTCGTTGGTGGCTCCACTTGGATAAGAAGAGACAAGACACAAGGAACAGGAGTTTGATTTACCGTATTTTTTAATTTTTTTGGCAAAAAACACACACCATTTGACGGCACAAAGCAGCAAGGCAGCAATGAGACATATGGAATGGAAGGAGTGGGGGAGAGGCAGGGGCAGCTTGACCGACCATAGGGTCTCGGCTTCATTACAACCCAAGCGCTCCACAAAAACAAAAGATTTCAGAAAATACGCAGGGAGGGGGGGGGGGGGTAGATAACTCGGGATTACAGGGGAAAGTATGCACAATGAAAAGTTATCATTGACGCCGTAAATGGTTCCCTCTATGGCCCTTGAAACTTGACTATTCTAGAGATGCAATTTAATGATATTAGGAGATGATGGCCATTGCTTTCCTAGATGTAGCCATGGCTCTATGTGCTGGTGATGTGAAGACTACTCAGGTGAGGTAATTTCGGCATGGCGGTGGTTTGTTCGTTGCTCCATTGTGTACGCTGTACCAGCGCTCGTTTTTGGACCCAAAATTCAGTCGTATTTTTGCTCCATTTTGAGGTGGTCCCCAGTTCCAAGGTGTCCGTACGTTCTGCAATGAGCCCTTTTGCATGGTTGTTGTAGACCCCAAAGGAAACCTACTTGCAAAATTTGAGCGAAATCGGAGAGATGATTCAGCCCAGCTTTTCTGGTCTTATAAGACATGCTCTCTTAAAGATACAGGCACACAGCCTTTCGACTCTGTTGTGTGTGTAAATAATTATATATGCACCATGCATACGCCCGTCGCAAGAGAAGCACGCAAATCTGCAAATGCACTGGGTGTATCCCCCCCCCCCCCCCCTCCCCCCCCCGACTTACTCTTATAGCTATGATAGCGAACAAGATCTGTATGAGACAGATGAAGACTAGCACCAGATAACACATACATACACACACGCATACACACACACGCACGGACGGACGCACGCACATACACACACACACACACACACACACACATACACACACATACCCCCCCCCCCCAAAGACACACACACCCGCACGGACACACGGACGCACACACAAACACACACACGCATATACCCTCTCACCCCTCCTCCCATACACAAACAAAATGCTACTCACTGCACATTTCAGATGCGCCAGTACTTTCGGCAGTCATCGTAGAAGCGGCTGAAGTACGTTCTGACCAGGTTGTTGTCCCAGCTGCTGCCGTCTCTACCCTTACCGTCGTTGGTGGCTCCACTTGGATAAGAAGAGACAAGACACAAGGAACAGGAGTTTGATTTACCGTATTTTTTAATTTTTTTGGCAAAAAACACACACCATTTGACGGCACAAAGCAGCAAGGCAGCGATGAGACATACAGAATGGCATGAGTGGGGGAGAGGCAGGGGCAGCTTGACCGACCATAGGGTCTCGGCTTCATTACAACCTAAGCGCTCCGCAAAAACAAAATATTTCAGAAAATACGCAGGGGGGCGGTGGGGGGGGGGGTAGATAACTGGGGATTACAGCGGAAAGTATGCACAATAAAAAAGTTATCAGAGAGTCAACGAAGTGAATGGAAGAGGGAACAGATTTTCCGGAGTATAAGCCGAACTTCGAACACTCATAATTCATCAAAAAGGGGGGGGGGGATTATACTCGGGTAATCAAGTTATCGGTGACAAATAAGGACGGTGTCTGTATTTGGTGGCAAAAACATGGGGCTCGACTTATACTGCAGTGTGGCTTATACTGACGAACCGCACACATGCACACGTACACTGACACACATGCAGGCAAGAATGCACATATGCATGCACACACACACACACATACACAGACCCAGACACACACAGACACATGCACACACACACACACGCATACACACATACACAGACACACACAAACATGCACACACACACACACAGCATGAGCCAACCGTAGAAACGTTTGTAGAACTCCGGATGCTGCCACGGGTCTGGGCAGGAGCAGAGTCGGATACACACATGCGGGCGTGTGTAGCAGACAGACACGTGCGCGTACATACATGCACACATACACACATACACATACACATACACACACGCATACACACACACACACACATACACACACACACACAATGCAGCTATGCTTAACAAAACCCTCCCCAGTGCCATGAGGTGCTTGAAGATACGTGTACACTACGCATCGCATCAAAACGCGTCTTAAAACTTTGCCGAAGGGCATTAGTAGTGAAGATGTATACCAAATTCTTGAGGGAATATTCTGCTAGATTTCACCATGCAAATATTGCACACGGCACCACACACCACGCACAGCGGTCTCTCGGCTTCAAACTGTAAAGCCTGATATAATACTTCCTCCGCGTCATCGAAATTGTCGCAGTTTGATTTTTGACATAAAACGGGGTATTTACTCACAAGCACTCGTATCAGAGGCAAGGAATCGGACATAGGCGATATTCATCAGTATAGGGTGACGGCAAAGTTCTATTTTTTGTGATTGGAATCTGAAATTTTTGAACTAGACGCAATTTCTTCGCTGATGTCGCTGCGATGGTAATTTCAACTCGCTGAGATCAGTCAGGCGTTGCAGGCTGCACATTTCTCGTGCTTATGGCCATTCACTCAAGCCTCATCACTGTTTTACCTTAGCTGGGGTGAGAATGAATCCGTGGAACAAGTAGCAGCGCTCGGAGAAACATCGAGGGGTCAGCAAACTAAATGCATGCAACGGCGATAAAATTTGTTGCTCTGGCTGAGACACTCACAGCTCAGTACATGATTTTACCTGCAAGAGCCGTGTACTACGGTGTAGACTCTACACGAAGTGCTAGTGATGCACGCGCAGGTGCCGTACCAGTGATGCTGAAAAAGAGGGCGCGCTGGATGATAGTACACTTACCTGCGCTGCATGAGCTGTGACCACACAGGTAAAATAAATGGGCATGCCACGGCTAAAAAAGGTTCATTTTCAAGATCGAGGTGGTTCCGCCGACGGTAATCAACCGACCTCGCAACGATCGTTTATTCTTACTAGGCTTCGTCGGGGGTGAAGTAGAAATCATCCAGAGCTAGCAGACGACAAGCATAGCAGCTCTTGTCCTGTAGAGAAAGTCAAAGCGTCTGAGATGAGGCGCGACCAACTTTCAACCTTCCTTGAAATATTTCGGAACGATATTTTTGCGTCCATTGACATCAGCGACGACGAGGACTTCATCTCTGCATGAAAACTCTCAGCCCAACTGTCCTGGAACGTTACTCTAGTATTCAGACTATCATACTGTGTAAAAAGTTTTGAATGGCTTAGCTTATGGAGTTGTCAGTAACAAGTGGCAAGTCACTAGTCAAACTGCGACAATTTCGATGACGCGGAGGAAGTAGTAATATTTGTTTACACTTTGCAAGGTACACCACATGGGAGGGCTGAGAGACCATTCACCGTTGCTTACCACCCGAGGCACTATTGTCGAGAGTCGGGAGTGTAATCATTTCAATGGTTATCGATGTAGCCATGGGTGTCACAGAGCAGTGGGGGGTCCGGGGCGTCCCCTCTGGAATAATCGGATTTTCTGTCCAATAGGACAGGACTTAGCGCACTACAGGTGCTCTTAGCGGACCATTTTGGACGAGAAGTGGTACGACCTTTGTCGTATCGGACGTACCTTGTGAGATGCCGCCCCTAATAGCTATGCAGTTCAATACTTTCCGACTCCACCAGTGACAACACCACTTATCGCTCGGGCTCAAGTTGAGCAAAGGGCAAACAAATGTCACAGTTTGAATATGGCAATAAGGAGGACGAGCTGAAGTGATATTTGGATTACTATATTCGTGACTTCAGCACATGGTTCAGAATATCTATCTGAGTCTGGCCATATCTCGAACTGAGGTATTTTTTAAATATATTTTTAAAAATATTCGACGAGGAGACAACAATTTTATTTTGGCAATAAGAAGGACGAGCTGAAGTGAGATTTCAAACTTTGCACAAATCGTAGTGAGCAGAGACAACCTGTCATTAAAGGGGAAGTGCATCGATTTTTCAAGTAGGGCTCAGATGAAAGACAATTGGATATCGGTTCCGATGGTATATCTCTCGCTTGCGTACGGCAAGGGAAACTTGCCATATCGCCGATTTCCTGATCCCGTTTCCATGGCGACTACAGGTGATGACGCACATTCTGCTTAGCTCCGTGAGAGAGAAGGTCGATCACTGAAGAATTGTGTCATTTTCAGTTGTCTTCTTGTATTCACGAAGTGAAAGAAGTACTGTGTTCAAGGCTGTTAGTGCCGTGAACTGTTTATTAGTAGTCCTCTCCGTTGTGTACTGGGACGTGACACCGACAGGGGAAAGCTGGAGTGCGGAGGCGTTAGCTGGCAAGCGAAAATCGTGACGAACCAAGTGCTGAAATCTTGGTTGGGACAAATCAAATGTTCAGCATTTACCTCAACCAAGGACCATGCCGTTTGCTCTTTCCACTTCCTGAAGATGGATGCGCTGCCTGCTGGAGACTCTCCTATCTCTCGTAACATCTTCTGAAGCCAGGTGAGTTGACGAGTAGCGGAGATTAGCGAACGAAATAATGTCGTATGTTTTGAAATTTTTGCTGAACATATCTCAGGAGAGATGGCATGTATGAACTTAGTCCATGTGAACTCAATCAGCCCATGAACTAACCCATGAACAAATGCTTGCCTTGCAGACGTGCATGTGTCTATTCAATCTACACGTAGAGATCATTCCATGCCCTCATTGAATGGCCTATGGAGACTGTGACGGCAGGTACCGCGATGGAGCGTATGGCTATGGCTCGCCAGAGGCCAGTGGACGAGTCTGGCATCACCGACTGTGTGTCGTCCTTTGTTGTTCATCTTGTTGTCTTGCTCGCTGTGTTGTCTGATTGTGTTTCTCTCTCCGTTCAGTTCGTTGCTTGTTGCTGTGTTGTTTCAGTTTGGTTGTTGTCGTTCTCTTGCTCTTCTCGTCATTCTTTTGTTCTCCATTGTTTTGTGTTTTAGATATATTTTGCGCTGCTGAGCTGCGCGCATGGGATTATTATTTTTGTTGGAGCTTCGGCTCTCGTATTTCGGTTGGCCTTGTGTGCCTGTGATTAGAGCATCGACTCTTGTGTTTTTTTTTGGTTTGGCCCTGAGGTGTGGCCTGGTTCTAGAGCAACGTCGCCGGCTCTGGTGGCTTTCGTTTGGCCCTGGGTGTGGCCTGGTTGTAGAGCGTCGGCTCTAGGTTTTTGTTTGGCCCTGTGTAGTGGCCTGTGATTAGAGCATCGGCTATAGGTTTTTGTTTGGCCCTGTGTCGTGGCCCGGATTTTATTTTAGAGTGTCGGCTCTAGGTTTATGATTGGCCCTGTGTTGTGGCCCGTTTTCTCTATGCTTCTCGTTGTCTCTGGGTTCAGTTGGCTTGTTGTTAGCTTGTTGTGCTACAATGTAAGCTGGTTGTTTTTGGTTTTTCTGTTTTGCTGTGGTTCCTTTGCTGCCGTGCATGTGGAACGTGGTGTCGGTTTATTATTTTGTGGAATGTCATCAAGGGGGCAGGCGTTGTGTTGTTTTCCTGTGTGATGGTATTCCCCAAACTGTCTCGTCTAGTCGCGTGCATGTGTGATATGAGCATGCGCGATCTTGTAGTCGAGAGTCCTTTTGTCAGTCTTCTGTTCGTCTCTGTCAGAGCAGTTTTCTTTTCCGTCTTGTCAATATAAATAATGTAAACAAACAAGTCTTGTCCTTTGTGTCCTGCGTCCCGGGGAGCGGAATGGCTGTGATTCCGTAACATGCCCTTATACTTCCTGACATGCTTTATGGATCTGTTAGGTACCTCCTCCCGTACCTTTTCTAGCTGGCCTGCATGCACTCGCGTACTCACCTTTTGTCTCCTTTTGTTCCGTTGGCCTGGGTAGCTACCTGCGCGCCCATCATTGCCATAGCTACCCAGGCTCTTTATATTGCGCTGCTTCTCTCTATAACTCTCTCTCTCTCTCTTTCTCACTCTTCAATAATCACCATGTAGTCGTTTCGTACATCCTGATCTTAGTCATCCCGTCTCTAAATAAATGTCGTTCCACCAACCTACCTGTTCCCGTTGTCAGTTGCCCTATTTCGTATTCAACATTGGCGCCCGATTATTGATCGACCTACGACCCTGAGATCATCCTATGCCATTCGTCTCGTCTATGTCAACCTCGTCTCGTCCATGTCAACCTCGTCTCTTCTATGTCAACCTCGTCTCGTCCAAGTCATGCAGGTCAGCTACTTTCTTCATTTCTCTCTTTCTTTTTCATCTGTCCTTCGTCGTCAAATTTATTTCCGGTTTATTTTAGTTTGTGATTTTTGTAGTGTGTGTGCGGGCGGGTGTCCTTCATTAATATTAGGGGTCCGATCATAGTGAGCCACGCTCTTTTATTTATGTCGTATATTAAAGTGTAACTAGGCTGTATTAGCCGTGCAAAATACTAGTCATCAGAATACAATTCAAGTCCCTCGTCAAACTCCAATAGTTATTTTTGTGCCATTTTTTGAGGGGGCATTTGGGCCCGTTGTTATTGGCAATGTACACACTATAAGTAGTACAGGAACGTTGTAATGATCTGTAGTGCATTTTTAGTACACACTTTTGTGAGGCCCGTGCGTTGGGTGTGTGTGTGTGTGTGTTTTTTTTCTTCTCTTCTTCCTCGGTCATTGTTTCTCTCTATTTTTCTCATCGTCTTATTATTTCCTGCGCGAGGTCGCGGTTCTTTTTCCACTCAGGGGAGGTATGTTAGGTACCTCATCCCGTACCTTTTCTAGCTGGCCTGCATGCACTCGCGTACTCACCTTTTGTCTCCTTTTGTTCCGTTGGCCTGGGTAGCTACTTGCGCGCCCATAATTGCCATAGCTACCCAGGCTCTTTATATTGCGTTGCTTCTCTCTTCAACTCTCTCTCTCTCTTTCTCATTCTTCAATTATCACCATGTAGTCGTTTCGTTCGTCCTGGTCTTAGTCATCCCGTCTCTAATAAATGTCGTTCCACCAACCCACCTGTTCCCGTTGTCAGTTGTCCTTTTTCGTATTCAACAGATCAAACGCGCGTTCTTCTCTGCACTCACGGCTCAGCAGCGGCACCAGCTCACTGTCCTCGACAAGCGATGTGTTCGCTGCGTAGCCAATCTGCCCTTCCCGTCCCATACCACTCCTATATACACTCGCCTTTCCCTGACCCCTGTAATTGAACGTGCCAAATGCGAACTCCGTTTCCTTATGCACCGTGTCCACACCAGCCGCATCCGCCCTCTTCTGAAAGATAGAGTAGCCCTCCAACCTCCCAGGCAGTAACACCCGTGGCAATGACAATTGCAAATACGTTGTGCCGCTAACTCGGCAAACATCTGGCGACAGCCAACCATTGGTTTCCGCCGTGAAGCTTTGGAACACCCTGCCACAGGAACTCACGTCCACTCGTTGTCCAACCCCGTTTGGAATATTGCTGAAAGTGTCTTTCTACAGTTAACATGGCCGAATAGTACCTCCCTCTGGCATAGGTCCTCATCTTCATATTTCTCTCTGATTGAATTCGTTCGAACTTGACTTGCAATTACCGGTACATATACTTCCTATTGACTGTTTTTTCATTTCCTCAAGTGCAGCTTTATCGAGCCACACTTTTTATTCTATCGCCATCATAATATTGGGCATCAATGCCCGTTTGGTTTGCGATGTAAAATAAAACTTCAAACAAAAACAAAAAAACAACAAATGAAGAAAAACAGCAGACTTCTTATGATCACAATCCCCATCCAACTCCTCTTTATCAGCCGCAACCCTGTCCTCCGTCTCATCTCCAAACTCATCTTCATTGTCATCCTCTCTGCCATTCTCCTCATCACGTCGATCACTCCCAGACTCGCTTCATGTTGCTTAGGCTCTGTTCGTTGACTCCTCCTTTGATCTTGATAGTGAAATTGTTTCCGTTATTGTTGTTCGTGTTCTCTCTCACACGTCACATTTGCAACAGCAAAACCACAGTGCAGGGTCGGCTGCGGACAGCCACATTGCAAGACAAACGTAAAATGTGTCGAATTTGAATGCAGAGTGGTCTGCATGCATACTAGTCACTGTTCACTTACTTCTTCTACCCGCCAGCTTATCAAAAGTGCGTTCTGATGATGGTGGAGCAGCAAGTGCAGCAGCAGCAAGAGCTACTTTTGCAAATGGGCTTTCGCCCAGCCAATCTGAAAATTACACAGGAATATCAAAAGAAAAGAAAAAGGATCGAGGAGCTACAAGTTACGCTATAATGTCAACTATCACCACCAGTTACTAAACAATCAGCTCATGCGATAACATGCCCGTCAGTGTAGTGATTTGCTATCGCATGAGCTGATTGTTTAGTAACCGGTGGTGTTAGTGGACATTATAACATAACTTGTAGTTCCTTGGTCCTATTTTCTTTCGTATAAATTAATCCTTGGCTCTCCATCCGAGTCCAATATCAAAACAGTCCAGCCACAAGTTTCCTATTTGATGTGGATCCATGCAAGCATAGGAACATCAACCCGTCCGGAAACTAGATCAAAGTTTGGTTCCTGGTGTTCCTCTCGTCCTATACAGGATGATTTCAAGTTCAATTCCGGGAAAGACAGCAGACTGTTATAAAAACACTATTTGGTAAAAATCTCCTCATTTTTCGTCTTGAAGTAAAAAATCTGGGTCGCAGACTTCTCGGACCAAAACCAGTCGACTCAGCATCTACAATAATTGCCCAATCTCGTTCATCCATGCTTTTATAAGAGCAAAATTGTGCTGTTAGTGACTCTTTGTATATACTGGTAAATCCCCTTCTAGTAGGGCGCAGTCACCCAGTTTCGGTGGAAGGGGCGAGTTCGATTGGGTAAAAAGGAGGAAGGGAGCGTCTCCCCTTCTAGTAGGGCGCAGTCACCCAGTTTTGGTGGAAGGGGCGAGTTCGATTGGGTAAAAAGGAGGAAGGGAGCGTCTCGGCTTGCTCGGACCAAGATCATTCAACTTAACACCCTGAAGACTACGAGTAGTGAACTTTTCATTCTAGACCATACTTCCCCTTTGAGACGTCATCACTTTCAATATTGAGTATTATTGCATGGGTCACACAATGAAGGATATACAGTCATTTTCACTACATCTATTACAATACGAGCCAGAAACCACGACGCTAACGTCACCAGTTTTCGATGAGGGACTGAAAATCCTTCCCCCACAATGATAAAGGAAACGACAAGGTGCATCAAGCAAACAATCGCTCTTACTCTGCTGGATATGACCATGAATTGCAGATAAATACATATGATCATCGATGTGCTCTGCAGTCACTGACACGAGTGCTGACTGGAACTGCAGCTCGGACAGCTTGCTCGTAAGCTGCTGGCGCTCTTCAGTCGTCACAGATCGGCCGACAGCTTGAGCAAAGGACACATGCTTTTGCTGAATCTCGACAGAGTTGTCCGTACCAGAAGCTGCAAAGGAGAGATCGGACAATAACCGCCGGAGGGCGGAACAACACCGCAAATGTTGAGCACAACTCATGAAAACTAGTGTCTTTTTCAATTAATTCAGACTAGTGATGTGCATGGGTAGTCTGGCACCCATGCTACCCGGGAAGATCTCGGGTAGACGGGCACAGAATAGTACCCAAAAAATCGAAGGCGCAGATGGCATAATGTACAGTGCACATGTACAAATTCATGTAGTACTCCCCATGTCTATCCAGTGTGTAAGGGAAGGGGTGCATTGTGGTATTACCATGGAAACATTACCCGATTGGGTACCAATGCTACCCGTACCCCATACCTGAAGAAAATGCTACCCGACGCAGCCCTAATTCAGACGCAGAGCAAAGGACCACAACCAGTTAATAGCTCAGATAGGAATCATGATGACAGCTTGTTAAATCCTGAACGGCACTCGTGATATAATTATCATGGAATCGCTTATCCACATACTTGCAAAAGGAGTGATCTACTTTAGTTCTGCCCAGTGACAGTGTCATTTACTTCAACCTTGCAACCGACACAGGCATTCTCTTTTGCAGGAATTAGTCGGAATGCACTGGTCAGTCAAATGTCAGTAAGTTGGCATCTGGAATGACTCCAGAAGGCTTGATCAGTAGCCAACAGCTCCACCACAAGGTGGCGTTCCCCACTCCCACTTGGTGAAAAGAACGGACGGGTAGTCTGAATTTTTAAAGTCAGCATGCGTCTAGAAAAAAGAAAAGAAATGTTACTTCACGGCTCGCAAAATATTCGATCAGACTGAGTTTTCCACATAGCAGGATTGAGGAACGCCACCACCTTAAAGGATCAAGGCGCAGATGCTGTATCTAAAGACCCTGGCACATCATGTAAGGTTGTATACATACCTAGTATGTTCCATAAGGTAGTTCGCAGATCAACTATCTCCAAGCTGGCCAAGCGAATCACTTCCAGGATTCCAAAGCCAGCCAGAACGCCAGGGTACAAGAACAGGATCCGATTGAAAAGCTCTGCTTGGTGCCGTCCTAATGCCAAGACCACGATTGAGCTGCCGTAATCCCCCATGTAATCAATATCCACATCACCATATGACCCCAAAATACGTCTAAGCCGCCTGCGCAAATTGGCTTTCATAGACTCATCTGGAGGGCCATCAATTGTCACGAAAATGAGAACCTGCTTCTTACCTACAGCAAAAGAGGAAAAGATTGGAATTATGCCATAATTAGGGAAAATTCTGATAACAAACAGGGACACAAAAGATGCCATATAGCGCAGTAGTAACATTACGAAAATATAGAATAAACATCATCATCCAGATTGTGTTTGTGAGACCGTTACTCAATCTGCGGACAGAAGTGTTTCATCCCCATTATTAATGTAATAAATTATTGGTCACAAAGTGGATATCGCCTAGCACACAGACACAACACAATAGTAGAGAATGGGGTGTTTCCACTTAGAGCAAGACCACATGTACCAGTCAGCAATCAATGATACATCTATCAAACACTCAATCATTCAAACACACATACACACACACACACACACACACACACACACACACGCGTGCACACACACGCACCCACACCTCAGACCTCACCTCAGGCCTGCCCATCGCGGAAGCGATGATAGCGAACAGCTATGTTAGACATAGCAACTTGTGCTGGGATTACACCATTCAACAGCTTGCAAGGTTGATGAATTGACCGCCACTAAGTTTAGCCTGGCATCCACCACACAGCTGATTGAAGTGGCTTTTTTCTGGCCAGTAAATCCCCATTTTCATTTATTATTTTTTTCATTTTTTTACACACACGCCACACCACATACTCCGGCATACACTGGCTGTCGGCAACCACCCAGGAGAATGAAAGAAGCTAGGAGAATGAGAAAGAAAAGAAAGACATGGGCGGCCATAACCGTCGGCAATTGAACCCGCAACCTCTCGATTGGAAATCGACTGCACATACCACTGCACCATATGGGACACACACACACACACACACACACACACACACACACACACACACACACACACACACATACACACCATACGACCATTTCACGCCCATCGCCGGAGGTGATGATAGCGATGCTACAGCAGAAACCATAGCAACTTGTGCTGGGATTGCACTATTCAACAGCTTGCAAGGCTGGAGAATTGACCACCACTATTCAGCATTGTCTACACCACACAGCTATGAAGTGGCTTCTTCTGGCCAGTGAATCCCTACTTTTTGGTCTTTTTTGCTTTTTCCCGACCACACATCACACCACATACTCCGGCATGCACTGGCTGTTGGTAACCACCCAGGAGAATGAAAGAAAATTCAGAAGGAGTCTGAGAAAGAGAAGAAAGACGTGTGTGGCCATAAACGTCGGGGATCGAACCAGCAACCTATCGATTGGAAATTGCACAGACAAACACACACACACATATAAACACACACATACACGCACACACGTGCACACACACACACACACGCCCACACGCGCACGCACACACACACACAGGCACTCGTGCGCAATCAAGCACACACACGCACCCACACACACACACACACACACACAAATTCTGCATACCTTCGTCATCGACCTCTATGCCAGATGTCTCGCTCTCCATCTCATCGAAGTCGATGTTTTCATAACCAAAGCGTTTCAAGACTAACTTGATGAATCGTTCGTATAGTGCGCGTTTCTTCTTCAGCTTCTCGTCCAAAAGCACAAAAACCGTCTTTCCTTGCAAATGGCTTGTCGATGATATTCGGTCTGAAGACCCCAAGAATGAAAGAAAGTACTTGCATCAACACATTTGGATTCACCGATCATATCAAACTCAAGGCACAGTATACAAATCCAAACTCGCAAAGAGATGTGCCAGACACAGAGACACACAGATAAAGAGATAATCTGACACACACCAGGCGGGTAGCCAAAGTGGATACCTTGTAGTCAGGTATCCATACGTGGTTGGCCAGCACATGTCGGAATACACTGAGGTCTGTATTGCCTATTGCCATTGGTAGTCTGCACAGACCAGTACGTAGGGGTCAAACGGGTGTACCTTTAACTAACAACGGGCGGGTTACGGGTACCCTTTAGCAGCCATGTTTACTTTTTGCAAAATTCTCACACAAATCATGATTTTTAATTTATCTATTCTCGAGCTCAGATTGCATCTTGATATCACATTATGAGTCGCAAATTGATTTGTGTCTCATGTAATTATTGCTGCAGTTCCAAATGAATGCCATCCGTGCATCTGCCCATGCAAAACGGGTAACCGGTAACACCTTCGCAGGCAGTTACAATGATAAGACAAGGATAAAGATCATCGACGTCCAAATGGGTACCCTTTTACTAATGGTACCTGAGATTAACGGGTGGGTACCCGGGTACCCGGTACGCCCCTTTGATCCCTACATTTTTCCGCTACAATATCATTATAGATCTACCACTACTGCCAGGGTGAGGTAGATGTACTGACTTGACGCGTAGATCTACTGTCTACTGCCGACTGTAGAACTTACATACTAGATTCAACTCAGATGGTGAGTCAATTAAATTATTGTGAAAAGGAGGACAAAATGTGACGAGTTATGACTAACTGTCCACCAACGTAACCAGATCTTATACAGTCAGCGAGTGCGACAAAATGGCACAAAACTGACAAGGAGTACTGAGACATTCGGCGACTTGACACCTAGCTCCAACACTTCTCCAAGGCGCAAACCAACAACCTTCCAACTTGGAAGGCTCAGGTTCGGAAAGGTCCAAGAGGGGAAGGAAAGCGCCACGAACAAGAGCACGAGCTACGAATCATGGCAACAAAGAATGCCGAAAGTTACTGGATGATAGTGAAACTAGTAAGATTATTATTGGACATACCTGCCTTACTACAACTCGACGACGCTAAGCAACAGACCACCCAATTTCGGAGGCTCAAGTTTATGCTATGTTATCCTTCCCCTCTTGGACCTTTCAGAACTTGAGCCTTCCAAGTTGGAAAGTTGCTGGTTTGTGCCTTGGAGAAGTGTTGGAGCTAGGTGTCAGGTCGCCGAATGTCTCGGTACTCCTTGTCAGTTTGTGCCATTTTGTCGCACTCGCTGACTGTATAAGATCTGGTTACGTTGGTGGACAGTTAGTCATAACTCGTAACATTTTGTCCTTCTCCTTTTTCACCATTACTTACTAGAAGAGTTTGCAGGGTTTTTAAAGTAAGCAATCGTTGTAAGGTCAACTACATGCATGTACTTTGAACCACTTGTTGATTTTGCTGTGTGAATACACCCTGCAGCAGTGCTGTGCAGCACCACTCACTGCACTCTGCAGCGGAACACCCACTAGCAAAATCGGAGTCGAACTCGAAGTCGGAAAGCCAGCCCGAGTGTGCACTTTCCGAGAATCTCCGACAGTCTGGAACGACGGTGGAGTTCTTGTCACCCGAGGATGGCCCTGGTGGACGTATAACATGTATCGCTATGGCGCATTGGCGATGAAAGTAGGTGGCAAGTACATAAAGCTCCGTTGCTACTGGCCGGAGAACTACGTTCAGGCTGGCCTTTTCCAGGACTACTTGTAAGGGGTGAACGCTAGATTTTGTCTGGCATGCACATTGTTTGGAGGTGACAGCAACAAGTTTGGCCATCAACTTGAAGTCAGCTGTATTCTAGTCGCCATCACCCATGACGCATCATTCTCCCAAAGCGCGTGTGAACACCAGAGCTCAACTGCTCTCAACCGAGGCAACATTGTCATTCTGGAGAGCTGATCAGAGCGCAAGCTCAGACCACAAGTACACTGTAACACCTTAGTTGCAAGCGTAGACTGGTGCCAGGATGCATAGCTCAGCACTTTCGAAGCTTCATGCATCTATTTCATCCCTTGCGACACACCTCACATGTACACTGTGAATCATAGGGTACAGTGAAAAATCAACATGCATCGCAGTTTTCTGCATCACATTTCTTAAGTTGCTTCGCACCTCAGAAGAATTGCGTAGCAAATTGCGATGCGATACCGGTCAAATTATTCCCTGCACACACATACACACACACACGGGCGCACGCGCGCACGTACGCACGCACACACACACCATGACCATTTGATGAGAGCGATGCTACAGCAGAAGCAACTTTTGCTGGGACTGCACCATTCAACAGCTTGCAAGGCTGGAGAATTGACCACCACTATTCAGCCTTGTCTACACCACACAGCTATGAAGTGGCTTTTTCTGGCCAGTGAATCCCTACTTTCTGGTCTTTTTTCCCCGCACATACATCACACCACATACTCCGCCATGCACTGGCTGTTGGTAACCACCCAGGAGACTTAAATAAAAGTCAGGAGGAGTCTGAGGAAGAGAAGAGATACGTGTGTGACCATAATCGTCGGAAATTTAAATCGTAGCCGATCGATTGGAAATTGCTGCACATACCACTGCACCATATGGGACACACACACACACACACACACACACACACACACACACCATGTATACGCCCGTCGCAAGAGAAGCACGCAAATCTGAAAATGCACTGGATGTGCACCCACAGATTTTCTCTTATAGCAACGATAGCGAACAAGATCTGAATGAGACAGATCAAGACTTGCGCCAGATAACGGTCTAATCCACACAACTGGCGAACCCATGTGAATCGACCACCAAAGCACACCTGGTCTACACCACACGGAGTACATCGGCATAAATAGCCCAAGACAGTTACCTCTGCACACCCTGCACTGGCTCGGGTAACCAGTATAGACAGCACACTGCTTTGATAGAAGCAGACACTAGATGCACTGGTACCTTGAAGTGAAATTGGAGTTACTTTACCAACCACACACATACACACACACACACACACACACACACACACACACACACACACAAACGCACACACACACACACCACCATGTTAACCTTTGCTATTCGCCGACTAACGACATACCTCGGACATTCTCAGCAGTTAAATCACTTCGTAATGCTGGTGTTGCCGGACGTTTTGCCTCTGTAAAGGGTCTGCCAATACAGGACCCTAAACACAGCAAGCACATTGAAATACTTGATCGCTTGTCTGGGTCATGCTTAGGGTCAGAAGTCCAAGGCCGCGGCAGCAAGTTGTAGAGGCCAGGGATCATTTAAAACTGTCAAAAACCGGGTGTTAAACTCACATTATTAGTTTTGGGTACACCAAGTACTTACGTCAGCTCACTGGAAGGTATGACTTTCTCATGTCAACCTAAAAGCCGAGCATGTCAGAAAATGCTTCATTATTCATTTCGATTGGTGCATGTAAGCACCCTGAACTGCACAGATGGTCCGTAAGACGGTCTAAAGAGGTCGCTGTGTGCAGACTTCAAACCTAGATTATGCACTGAAGTAGTAAATAAATTATCCAATGCTGAGACACCTATAGCACCTTGAAACATCTCAACACCAATAAGGATTCCTATGCGATAGTCTTCCCCCCGTCTTCGTTTTCTTTCGATCACTGCTCACTTACTCAAGAGGCGAACCATCGCCTCATGTCGGTTATGATGCAACATCGGATTCATGGCCAGGATCGCACCACATAGAACTAGGTAGCCCAAGACACCACCGCTTTTAAGAAAGTGAACTATCTTGGCGTTGTGCCCCTCGGGCCCATCTCTGCCCTCTAGTCGGCGCAGTTGGTTCAGGTTATCATACGTCAAGGCGCCCCTGAAACTCTGCACCGCACCCCTGAAGCTTGCTGCATCCAAATCGTAGATCCACGGAAGAATGCCCGCCACAAACTCTGCGTGTGTGAACGGATTTTCTGTAGAACAGAATAAAGGAAGAAGCAGTAATGCCATTTTTCAGACATACAATACATGTACAATGGCCCGACCGAGCCCCTCCTCCCAAACTACTCAAACCGACAAGTTCTAGAACCAGGTGTACATATAATTGACTGCATTACACACACACACACACACACACACACACACACACACACACACACACACACACACGTGCGCACGCACACACACACAAACACACACACACACACACACATGTGCTAACACGTAGCACTAACGATGAAAGCACACAGGAGCTGCACATTAAACTCTGTCAACGGTTTCGTTTAGACGGCGGCAGCGTGCATGGTATTGTATCCACTTACAAATAATCCGATGTGTTCTTATGTGAGGGTGCGCTTAAACAAAGATATAGCTACATGTACATGCGCTTTAAGTCTAGTCCACATTTGACGCAACACTGACGGCACGGGATGTAAGAGTCTGTTGGGACGGCTGGGTTGAGCTGTCGTTGCGACGTTCAACGTCCAATGGTGCGAGTCATAAGGCACGGTCCGTGATGGGGTGACTTTCGGACTTAATTTCTTGTTTTTCGGGACCTTTTTCAATTATTTCTCCTTGAATGAAGCGGAATCAAGTTCACAATACCAATTTTTCATGAAGACCCAAACATTATCTCTGAAATTTGTGGCATTCAAACAATAGCCTCAGGAAATTATAGAACAGTTCGTCTGTCACGCTCCTGAACTATCCCTAAATACATGAGATCTTATCTTGCTAAAATTCAATTCAAGTCGTGCTAGCCATTCTGTGAGTTTTCATGGGAAGCGCAGTGTTCGAAATGCTAAAAAAATTCAAAGTAAGATTCGGGAGTAGTCGGGAAGAGTCGGCGCACTACGCCATGTCCTGTTCCCACTCGAACTGCAGCCGTTTTGTACGCTCGCGTCCCAGTCGACGCCAGTCTACGGTACGAAAAGTTGAATCGATTAAACTCTTCCTCGCACTTCCTGATCTGTACTCTAGTACAGTTGCGTCCCCGTTCCTGGTGTTCACATTGGACGCCGCCAGACTGTCCCGTCCCTCCCCGTCGATCCTTACGTCGCGTCCCGTCGCGCCCCGTCGGATGTGAACTGGGCTTTAATTAGTGCTGTATTAGCGGCTTCATAGCCCGTGCTGGGAGTATAACAGAGAGGTTCCAGGCTGTCCAGTAGAGTGCTCAATGCCGAGAAGCAGAGCCACTTCTAACAAGACTAAGGGTTTCATGCACTAAGCGATTATCAGACAACTGTTTTTCTGATGGGATCTTAGAGCTTGAAACTCTGAGTAAAACACTTGTTTTATCCTCTGTTTCTTGTTATTCTGGGAGTACATTATAGAAAAGGTGAAAGAGAAAAGGCCGAGGCATTAAAACCACTCAATTTTAGTGTATTGTTGAAACTCAATTCTGCCATATTTGCATCATACAATGACACAATGACACAAGGGAAAGGTAGATGAAAGGACGACATTTACTGGGGTAGACGAGGGACGAAACGAAGGACTACACGGTGACAACAAGAGTGAGATAGAGAGAGAGAGAGAGAGAGAGAGAGAGAGAGAGAGAGAGAGAGAGAGAGAGAGAGAGAGAGAGAGAGAGAGAGAGAGAGAGAGAGAGAGACAGAGAGACAGAGAGAGAGTAAGAAAAAGAGATTGCTAGATAAAAGACCTGGGTAGCTATGGCAACTATGGGCATGGAAGTAGCCAACCAGGTCAACAGAACAAACGGTGAGTACGGGGTGCACGCAGGCCAGCAGGAAAAGGGTACGGGAGAAGGTACTTAAGAGTAGTATGCACCAAGAAACAATACCACTGTACCACCCCTTACTTGCACAACCCTGAGCCGCATAGTACGTCATATCACTCTGCGGAATATCCTCGCCAAACTGGGCCGCAAACCGCTGGAAAGTTCCCAGACATCGGGATTCATGTCCAGGCGAATCCGCGCTGCTCGCAGCTGCAGCCTCGCTGGCACCACCTTCCGGATCAGGCGGTGTAGGAGGTTCTGTGGCGGCAATCTCCATGCTGTGAAGCTCGGCTCTTCCTTCGTTGCCTTTAAAGAACACCCTAAGGCAGAAACATAATAGAGTTTGCAACAGTGGGGGTCCACAAATTGTGCAGGGAAGACTTCAAGTCAAACCTGTGCCATAGTGCTTCAAAGTTGAGGGTCGAGCGACTTGAGCCATAACAGTACCAATCTCAGGGTATCAGGTGAACCTTAGAGGCGATTTACACGACGGCAGGATTCATCCCGTGCGTGATGCTACCATGGAGATTCAGTCATGTGAACTCAAATTTTGGCGAGAACGTATCCCGCGAGCTATCCCGGGAAGGTCCAGGTGCCTTGAGGGGTGGGGGGTAGAAAGGCATGCCATGGCATTCCTTGGACTGTTTTGTAGCACACGTGCTGTACGTCCATCCTGCCGTGTGCATCGATTTTCGTTTTTGCCGTACAATAGCAAGCTCTCGGGCACACACGCTTCACTTCCCGGCGAGATGCCCTGTCGTCATGTGAATCGCCTCTAAAAAGGTATTTGTACCCGGACCTTGTATGGAGCCTTGGACTGTGTAAAGCGTAGTGGACTGCATAGTGCGTCTTAGATCAGATAGAGCGTCTGGACCTCCTCGCGCGTCTCACATTAGAGTTATTTGGCAGGTCTATATTGGTCTGCACCCAGCGTACAGATTCGAATCCAGCGCCGCACACCATCATTTGTATGCATGATAGATCAGCAGGCTTTACCATTGCGGGATCACACCAACGGTCCGTTTGGATAGGCATGCAATAGCATGTGGCATGCTGTGCCATTGCACTTGAGATATCATAATGACATTTGCTCGCAGGGCGCAGTCACCCAGTGTCAGGGAGGTGTGCAAGTTAGGCTGGGTATACACATGCAGGCAAAGGGAGCGTTTTCAGGCCTACCCTCGTAAGCAGACAACCCCGAGAGTTTCAAAATCAATTTTTTTCTTGCAATGAGTTTTATCTACTAACAGGACTTGCACATTTTTACTGATCTACATCATTCATATTGCATCTGCCTCAGAAATGATGTTTTCTCATTAGAAAACAATTTTTTACCCCAGACCCCTGTACAATTACAAGACAATCCGTTATAAGACAATTTTGTCATTGCACCCCTATACAAGACAACATGAAACATCAATCGACCTATCCATGGTCATTTGCTTCGTCTAGTGATGAGGGAATCAAACGTGTGGGGCACTCCCAGCAGACAGTGACGTTATAAGTTGACGAATTCTGTCCACAAACGAATTATCTCATATCCGGACATGCATGTATGACTGGTAAATGCAGTTCGTCAGGGGATTTCGGATCGTTGTCTACCAATGAGGTGTGTGTTGTAACCGATGTCGTACTAACGAGGGTTGACCTGTATTGAGAGTGGCAATACTCGCAAAAGAGATGCGAGAGGGTCACGGAAGCGGGTCAATATTTTTGACATTATAGGAGAATCAATGAATGTTTTAGATCGATCACAGTCTAACCTGTTTTTCATGCAACGTGACGAGGACACGAGGAGAAGTAGTTGATGCGGGTCCCGCAAGGCATCGCTCACGCACGCATGAGAACATCCACGGTAGAATAAAATGTGCTGCTGAGAATCACCTAACAACCGATCGATTTTGAAATACTACCCTATCGAACCAAGCTAGCAATCGTATTGCAAAGATAGATTCACCACATTGGCTGTAGAGTGCCACGCAGGAAAGACGCCACCCACAACTAATTGGCTCCTAATTGACCTAACGGTAAAAGCTAGCGGGGACTGGCACGATGCTGAATGGCGATTAGAAACAAACCACAGATCAACTACGACCAGGGTGGCTATAAAAATAAAAATAATTTAAAAAATAGTTTGAGCGACAGAAAGTATTAAAAGTTACCGGTAGTTTCTGAGAAACTGGTAAAGACATGTACTACATGTATAGTGGATTTCAGTTGCCAGCTCTGTATGTCTATGAGTATGAATGTATGATGTATGATGTATGATGTAGTCTGTCAACACTCAACACTGGCAGTTTTAGTCCGGGAGCTGAAATCTGTAGGATGCTTTTTATTTTCGGGGTATGCCACTTCAGAGGGAGGACTTGAAACTTCGCACAGAGGTAGGCAAGGGTCACTAGAGGACGATTTGAGAACTTGGCCGTCCCGAAGCTGTGCAGCAATGCCGGTGCAAGGAGGTTTGTTCGCTCGTCGAACACTATTTCGTTGCCGTGATTTCACAGTTTTTGCGCCATTCAGCGCTTGAAAAATGGGGAAATCAGCGGGTTTCGCTGACGTAACCAGACATTTTCATGCGAATGACTCAATTGTGCTAGATTTTCAAGAGAAACACAAAGAAACACGAAGCGAAACGCAAAGTCACACCGTCGATGAAGCATTTTTCATTCTGTTTGTATAATTGTGTCGTTCTGAGTTCTGAAGACAAACATACAGTAGCTGGTTCGTCGTCGGAGGACATGACTGGTGTTCCTGAGATTGTCGTGCGTAACGGCTAAATGACTTGCCACTTGACCCTGATGTCGACAGGCAGGTCTCGTAGGAACTGTCCGTCTCCATCGAGGTGACTCTTGATTGTTTTTACCAATAGTGTTTTGTAGATTGATCCTCACTACAAACAAGAGTACTCCTGCTACAAACGATTTCATGCTAGTCAATGAGCGGACTGACAACGTGTGTTAAAGGTGGTAAGGTACACACCATGGCAGCTGCCTTGAACGGAATCTTTGATTATACCAGTGAACGTAGAAATGCATGACTTATCTTGAATAACGTCTCTTTGAATCATTGTTTTGTTGAAGTTTCGGATGCTGCACAATGACATGCGCGTACGTGGAAGCATTCACATTGTAGAAGATCATGGGATGATTATTTCCCTACTTCACTCAGTCCTTTGTGTGGTAAATTGAGTAGTAGTAGACGTAGTATATTAATTTTAGGAATTTCCGCAAACGCAATCAGTAAATGTGGCGGTAACATGTAGAATATAATCATTTTAAAACTACAGCTACGGTGCATCATATTTATGTGAACAAAGGCTGAATGCAGATATGTAAACAGTGTCTTGGACGCGATATGCATCGGCACCGCATACATCCAGGCAAGACGATGTAGCGCAATATCTGTGTTGAACGGTTTTTGATCCCTTCATCATGGAGAACAGTATCCATTCTTCATCCGGTTTGCGATCCTCTGCTCTGTGCTGCCAACGACGTCCACTTGTTGCTCACATGTGTAGTGCTGCTGAGCGGGTTGCAACATTCGGACATGCATCGGCGAGTACCGTAAAAGCCCGTAATAAGGCCCTGGGCGGAAGCGTTAGCGACGGTCCAGAACATGGGCGCTAATGATTGGGTTGTCACATTCGGACATGCACCAGCAAGTATAGTACAGGGTTGGGGTGACCCGTTGCACTAGAAGCATCCAGTGCTGTAACCTTTGCGATGTTTGCAGCTATGCAGAGCAGTTATCTCCTGGGTTCCGACTGCTGCTCCGTGGAGATGATAGTAGGGCACTAGACAGCGGCTTTGTAAATTGCCATTCTGGAATGCTACCTCAGAGCAGCCGATGATGGTGACGTTCTTGCACAGCATGTTGTTGGTACCACAATCACAGCAAGTTCACTGGTGATGATTAACTTCTGGCCGCGTGTTGCATGTTTCTGAGATTCGTAGATAATGACGCGCGCGTGCATGAGTGTGTGTGTTTATATGTATGTATGCATGTGAGCATCGGCATGTGCGCATCCATGTGTGTGTGTGCGGGCGCGCGCGTGTGTCGTGCACATGTACACGTGTATGAGCGTGTGTGTGTGAGCATTTGCATGTGCGCATCCACCTGTGTGTGCGCGCACGCGTGTGTCGTGCACATGTACATGTGTATGCGTGTATGTGTGTGTGAGCATTTGCATGTGCGCATCCACCTGTGTGTATGTGCGTGCAAGCGCGCACGCGTGTGTGTGCGTGCACATGTACACGTGTATGCGTGTGTGTGTGTGTGTGAGCATTGGCATGTGCGCATCCACCTGTGTGTATGTGCGCACGCGTGTGTGTTGAATGCGTGCATGTTCGCACACATGTATGTGTGTGTGTGCGAACAGAGAGTCACATGTGTGTGTGTGTGTGTGTGTGTGTGTGTGTGTGTGTGTGTGTGCGTGTGTGTGCACTCATGCACACATGTGAGTACACGCTTGCGCGCGTGTGTGGGCGTGCGCGCGTGTACACAATCTCGCACACATGCATGTGCGCGCATCCACCTGTGTGTGCACGCGTGCGTGTGTCGTGCACATATACATGTACATGTGTATGCGTGTATGTGTGTGTGAGCATTTGCATGTGCGCATCCACCTGTGTGTATGTGCGTGCAAGCGCGCACGAGTGTGTGTGCGTGCAAGCGCGCACGCGTGTGTGTGCGTGCACATGTACACGTGTATGCGTGTGTGTGTGTGAGCATTGGCATGTGCGCATCCACCTGTGTGTATGTGCGCACGCGTGTGTGATGAATGCGCGCATGTTCGCACACATGTATGTGTGTGTGTGTGTGTGCGAACAGAGAGTCACATGTGTGTGCGTGTGTGTGCACTCATGCACACTCGCACACATGTGAGTACACGCTTGCAAGCGTGTGTGGGCGTGCGCGCGTGTACACAAGCTCGCACACATGTACGTGCGCGCATGTATGTTCTATCTTGTGATGTTGCCTATCCCATGCTCTCCTTTGGTGCTGCCACGTAGACGTCTGTCGTAGTTCCTGTCAGAAGTGCATGTGGAACTGGCAGTGATTGTCATTCTACCTTTGTTTCAAACAACGTCTCGTTTTCGAGTTACATGATCTCTCACAGGATCCACAAAGTATTTTGTGCAAAAGCAGCTAGGCTCACCTGAACCAGTGAAGAACGAGTACCGGAACAAACAAGCTGGCAAACTGCAACGGAGTTGACACCACCAGCAGATAAATAGGCCAGGCAGAGTACCGACATGGGTGATGATGATCTTGCACGTCCGGTGACTGGTCACTGGTGCATACGGCTGTGGCACTGGCAGTCAGGACTCAGGGACGCGGAGGCCGACTTGTCAGCAAGCAACATCTCGCCTACTCTGCCGGAATCTTCGCTCGACTCGACCTCAGTCAGACCTGGAAATATACTTTTGAAACTTTGCTTGCACGCGTTGCAGAATTGCCGGAGTAGGCGCGAGTATTATTGTGCACTATTGCTGGTACACACTCTATGTTGCGCTTTTGTCCAGAAGCGCCATGCTTCGTGACTAGTGGACCTGACGATGGCAATACTATTCTCACATTCAAAGTCAAAATCGTAATGAAAATGTATGTCACGCTTTGAGAAAGTAAGCTTGCAGCGTCGTCATCTTCTGGACAGGCGCATAGTCACTGATTTGGAATTTTGAGCGTGCGCACCTACTTCTCAAACCGAGAAGTCGGCTGAGAACGAAAAACATTTGCGCCTAAATGCTTGACAATTGTGAATTTGATCGTCGAACAAAATGCGTCCTCGCGATGTCCGTGCACAGCTTTGGGATGGCCAAGAACTCGAAAGCCCTTCTCTGATAGACCCATAACCCATTGCTGAAGAGATCTTGTACTCCATCTCGCCCGACCTGGAGCGCCACTTTTTTGAAGGTCGGCTCCCTGACTATTTAGTTGTTTGGTGATCGACAGACTCAGTGCTGTACCGGTACCGCGGTATTTCCCCTTCTCGACCTTATTCGATCACGTGATTTTTCGGGGCGCCTTCGAGGATGCGCACGCGGCACTCGGACGCGTGATCCGGACGAGTGGCAAAAAGGCCTCAGCTGAGCATCACGGAAATTTGTTTTGAATGTATTTTCAATATCGGAGTTCGTCTCCTTCCTTTTCTCGAAGTACTTTCATGCAGGTTTGTCAGGTGTTAGGAGCAGTAAGCAGTCTTCTTGTAGTTTTGAGTGTTCTAGCAGTGATGGCGGTTCAAGACTTGTCCGAAATCTATCGCGATTTGGATAAAGCGGGCAAGACGCGGTATGCCGAGAAGCTGGCGTTTGTCAGGTGTTAGGAGCAGTAAGCAGTCTTCTTGTAGTTTTGAGTGTTCTAGCAGTGATGGCGGTTCAAGAGTTGTCCGAAATCTATCGCGATTTGGATAGAGCGGGCAAGACGCGGTATGCCGAGAAGCTGGCGTTCATCGGCTCGGACCAGGACCCCTACGTGACGAGCAGATCTCTCACGCCTGGTGCCACACCTGATTTCCCCAGCGTGGAGTATCCTGATTTGTACCACTATCTCGTGAACGCGCCGAGTCCCTGCACGAAAGAGGAGATGAAGGCGTACAAAAGCTTGGAGGGGTACCAGTTTTTCGTTGCTGGTTGGGTTGGCAATGTCGTCACCTTTCCTGCAACTGCGGATGGCAAGAGAGCATTTGTGATGGCGAAGGTCCGTCACTCCCAGTCCGTGTCCTCTGCTGAGCTGCAGCCTTGGGTGGCAGCTGACATGGATGGGAGTGTGCTTTGTGCCCACTGTACGTGTATGGCTGGCCTGGGTGAGGCATGCTCCCACATTGCCGCCTTGCTATTTACTCTGGTGGCCAGGACGGATTTCGTGAAAGAAAATTCCGCCTGCACCTCCACGCAATGTCAGTGGATTGCCCCATCCCTGCAGCCTGTGCAGTATGCCAGGATATGCGAGATGGATTTCGCCGCGCCGAGCAGCAAGCGCACTAAGCCAGCAGCAGCCAGTGTGGAGGTCACCACACAACTGCCGACATACACTGTGCCAACCACCAGTGAAGTCAACGAGTTCTTTTCTGGTCTTGCCTCCACGCAGAGCAAGCCAGGGATACTATCAATTGTTCCTGGTTTCTGCGAGAGGTATGTCCCAACCCGCCCAGCTGGGTTCCCAGCTTATATCACCGACCTCTATGATGAGGCAATGCTAGACGCATCACTCGATGTGTTGCTGAACCGGTGTGATGATGTTTTGAAGGGCATGGGAGTGACAGCAGCAGAATCGGCTGCTGTTGAAAAGGCAACCCGCGATCAGAGCAAGAGCAAGCTGTGGTTCAGGTTCCGCGCAGGGCGTGTGACAGCTTCAAAGTTCCGTGATGCTGCTCACACACCCCCTGCGAACCCATCATCATCTCTAATTCGTGCAATTTGCTACCCCGATGCATATCAGTTTTCCTCTGCAGCGACCACTTGGGGTTTGGAGCATGAGCAGACTGCCCGAGACTGCTACGTCAAACTGTTTGAGCCTAACCACTGCGACTTCAAAGTTACTGATTCAGGATTCGTCATCTCCACCACTCATCCGTATCTCGGTGCCAGTCCTGATGGAAACATCAATTGTACTTGCTGCGGATATGGCGTCCTTGAGGTGAAATGCCCTTTCAAAGCCGTGAACAAGTCCTTCCATGATCTGGCAAAGGACACCAACTTCTGTTTGAAGGAGGTCGATGGAAAATTCCATTTGCGCCTTGGTCACAAGTATGCATACCAAGTGCAAGCACAGATGTTTGTATGCAAGGCAGCATATTCGGATTTTGTGGTGTGGAGCGTGCGGGAATGTGTAGTCATCCGCGTTCATCCAGATCCAGATTTCCACAAGACAGTCCAAGCCATCACGTCTTTCTACAAGGCTGGCGTGCTGCCAGAGATTGTCGGCAAGTATTTTACAAAATCCTTCAAATCTACTGCCGCCAATTCTGATGGAGCTGTATGCACTTGCAACGAGGATAAGGACGGCGACGTGGTGGAATGCTCACATCCAGACTGCAGAGTTAAGACGTTTCACTTGGTATGTCTTCGCATGAAGCAGAAACCAAAACGCAAGTGGATATGTGCAGCATGCAAGAAGAAGGAATAACTGTGTGTACGGGTGTGTGTGTGTGTGTGTGTGTGTGTGTGTGTGTGTGTGTGTGTGTGTGTGCAACGCCATGCTAGATTCTGTTGACTCTCGCTCTTTCTTTCCTCTCTTCTCTCTTTTAGTTGTTGTCTCCCGCTTATGATAGCGGCATGGCCCGATAGGGCAGCTGTACATAGCAGTAGTAGTAGTGTATGTGTGTGTGTGTGTGTGTGTGTGTGTGTGCATACATGCATGTATCCTGATGCAATTATGTAACTAGGAGCTATGCCCAACCCACCAAAACTCTCACTTCTCACACAAATGATTGCACCATACATGTACATAGAAATCAACAGCCATGCTCATGCATGGCTGCAGGATCATACATTCCACCATGTCAGAAATTTGAACTTGAGTCAATATGACCACTGGGGCTTGTTATTATTATGTGCAGGCAAGCAAAAAAGATGAAATCATATGATGATTTCAAGTTGTGCTTTTTGAAACATGACGTGTGTGTGTGTATGTGTCTGTGTGTGTGTGTGTGTGTGTGTGTGTGTGTGTGTGTGTGTGTGTGTGTGTGTGTGTGTGTAATGGAGTGTGATTGATTGAGATTTACACATTGGTGCTAACTAGACACAGGGACAAAAGCCGTTCTTCGAGGGAGTGGTAAAATACAAGTAACATAATTTGCATTGCACTCCTGTCCAGGTAATCTATGCAGCAACAACATGCCACACGTTCCACAATACGGGACAAAAAAAGTAAAAAACAAGTCAATACTTCAGTACTTCTACTGGAAAGGCACCACTGAGTCGCAGCAGTTGCACAGCGCAGAGCACACCAGGACAATCTTGTCGATGGTGCACACTCCTGTTGAGGCATCACTCATCAGCATGTTCACTGGCAGGGTTGACTGCAGAATAGTGTACTTCTGCCGCAAGTTGCCGATAACACGTTCCACATGGATTCGTAGCCGAGACAGCTTCCTGGCCTTCTCAATGCTGATTCTCGACAGTTGCTTCTTGCCTCTTGTGAACGGAGGTATGACCAGCTCAGCGCAGTGCAGGCCAACGGCATCACTGACCGTGAATCCCCGGTCTGCCATTAGCTGATCACCCGGCAATAGCTTGTCCAACAGCCCGCAATGCTCCGTGATGTACTTATCCGATGTCCGGCCACCCCATCCTTTGGAGATGAAGGAAATAGTGCCTTGCGGGGTGATACCAATAAGAAATTTAACCGTGTTGTGGTGTTTGTAATTAGAGAAGGTTTGAGCCCTGGCCATCAGATCATGTGGCCTTTCGCAAAACACTTCAAAACAATCAATAATGCAAATGCACTTCCCAAAATGTCCGCGAAACTCCAATGGCATCGTGCGGTACAGTTCGGAGCGCTCTGGCCAGATGATCAACGGCTGCAGCCTGCCATAAAGGACGTGGATCCATTTGTGGAAGTACTTTGAGACGGTAGACTGGCTGATGCCGAAGCGATGTGCTAGATCTTGATCGTGCAAGTTGAGGCGCAGCTTCATCAGGACAATAATAAACTGCGCAAAGGACGGAAGTGCCGCTCGGTGGTGGTCGGGGATGTCCTTGCCAGCAAATGCGAACACTTTCTCCAGCACAGCAAAAGATGGGAGGCCAGTTTCATATCTCACCATGTCATCATTGGACTTGAATCCTGATATGATGGAAGACATTGCCGCCTCTGATTTTTGATGTTTCACAGTGGCTTCCAGGTGCTGTACTTTGACGGTGAGAGCAGAAATAGCAGATTTCTGTTCCTGCAACTGACCATTCAGCTGGCATTTGTCCTCTTCCAGCTGTGCCACTCTCGCCTGAAGCAAGGCTAGATCGTCATTTTCTTGTTCAGCACTATTGTCGACATGGCTGCTGGCTTCAGTGAGCTCTGGCTGAGCTGGGGACGCTGGCTCAACAGAGTCTGACGAACATGAATCTCTCGGCGCACTCTCCTCTTCGATTTCCTTGTCAGCATTACAGTCACTTTCTCCAGTCAGCACGGGCTCATGATTGCCATGGCAGGTATCTTCAGGCTGAGCTGTTGGCTTTGAAGCTGCATGCCGTCGACGTCGGGCCTTGTGGCGATCAAATTTTACGTAAGCTTTCTCACCATTTACTCGACCCTCGTCTGAAAAAACAGACGGGACGAAATCAGGGGATAGTGGATCGTCGCTCTTCTTGAACCTTACAAAGTGATCGCAGCACACCCAACTGGAAGCGTTGGGCTGCCAGTTCTTGCGCTTCAGCGCAGCAATCCACTTTGCTCTCCTGAGCTGATTAGTTGGGAACTTATAAAAGCTCTTTCCACCGCCTTTCGCGAAACGGTTAGCGCAACCAACTGCACAGCAACTCTTCACCATACTACTACACTCCCTACCCACGTCTCCCTGACCAACGACAGTGACAGCTACCCAGAACAATTCCAAAGCTCTCCTCCAAACACACTTGCCCACAACTATCAACACGCACTTTCAAAACAAAACACTTCTTGCCACTCGTCCAGTTTTTCGTAGGTTCGTGACTGGGGTCCACGTGACCCGTGACGTGTATCGAATAAGGTCGTTTGCGTGACAACAGAAGATGACTCCGACTACATGTATACTGTACTACAGTACTACAATACTCATAGTACAAAGCCTTTCAATAATAATTCAAAGGGCCGGCATGATGCATGATGATGAGAGCATTTTTGTAGACTGTGTTTGTAGAGCTAGACTAGAGATATTTTACGCGTCTTTCGGAGACGGGTGGTATGCATGGTAGCGAAATGTCGAGTAAGCGATCATACGCAGGTGCATTACATAGCTATCTGCTGGGCTGATTTTAGCGGTCTCTCCTGACCAGTCGGTCGTGCTAAAATTATTGTTGCGGCCGTTCTCAACTAATTTGCTAGGCGAGTGCGTCGTTTAGTATTTTGGTTGCAGCTTGTGGTGCTGTACGTGCTGACTAGGTGACATCAAGAGAGAACGAGAGAGAGACAAAGACAGAGACAGAGAGAGAAAGGTGAGACAGTGTGGAGCTAGCGCGAACTCGAGAACAGGCTGCACAGTGTCCTAAATGTCCAGTGCACAGTCTGCAAACAGAACTGTTTCGTACTTTGTGGGCCCATCGGCGCAGCACAGAGAAAATGAGGCCGAACCTGATAGCAATGAAAAAGAATTTTTCCAAAGCCAGATTTAAACCCGGCCCGAATGTACCTGTCCTTGCCAGTGCAGAGTGCTCACACTGACAAGTCAGTGAATGCCAATTACATGTAAAGTAAACGTTGCGTATAAAGACATTTGGCTGGGAATCAGAAAAGTGTCTTTATTCGCGAAGTGTCCTTATACCCGAAGTCTCATTAAAATGTATTACAATTGGATGGGACTTTGCTCCGGGCATGGAAATTCTGTCGTTATTCGCGAATTGTCATTATGTCCGCAGTCGTGATTAGCGAAGTAGACTGTAGTCGGTGCTTGAAAGTGGGCTAGCGTTTGTGGTAGAATTTTTTTCTCCTGCTTGGAAATGCTGTCTTCTCTTTCTGAGCTAACGCCAGTGAACAGTGACGTTGACCGGTGCTATTGACTTTGCAGTGAACAGTGACGTTGACCGGTGCTGTTGACTTTGCCGCAGGGCTGCATAGATCTGCAGTCGATTCCCTGAAAGTGCCTCGGTGAGAGCCAGATCGGGCCCGCGCGAGGAATCAGAAACAGTTACAAAATTGCATGGAAACGAGTTATGAAGCAACTATCCACAACTGTAACAGTCAGAAAGTGCGATATCAGGGCATAGTTGCTTCATAACTCGTTTCCATGTGATTTTTTCTATTAAAAAAAAAAAATTGTTGGCTCAGTAACCGAGTTAAAGTTACACAATCAGCGGGAAATTAGTCTGACACTGATTCGTTTAGAAAAGTGCTAGCGTATTGATCTGTGGTGTTCCAGTCGGGTTGGTTTCCATGGAGTGCACAATATTTGAGGATAAATCCTGTGGATTAATATGGTGGTAAAGACACACCTGGCAATATGGCGGTAATTACGTGCCTGCCCACGCACGCTCCCCAGGCTGCAACGGTCGGCACAGAGCTCCCCTTCTCGCCGCCACCACCACCATCACTTCGCGCCTGGCGCCTAGTCGATGCACGGCCGTCGGTATCTGCGCTGCTTCTGACCCGCAGGCTTTGGGCACGGCTGTAGCAATGCAGTATGTTTCTGTTCACGCCCTGTGTTGTTTCTGTTCACGCCCTGTGTTATTTCTGTTCACGCCTTGTGTTGTTTTTGTTCACGCCCTGTGTTGTTTCTGTTCACGCCCTGTGTTGTTTCTGTTCACGCCCTGTGTTATTTCTGTTCACGCCTTGTGTTGTTTTTGTTCACGCCCTGTGTTGTTTCTGTTCACGCCCTGTGTTGTTTCTGTGCACGCCCTGTGTTGTTTCTGTGCACGCCCTGTGTTGTTTCTGTGCACGCGTTCCATATTTTTTAGGTGGAACATGTCACGGACGTATAATCCGTGGAAGGACCGCGACTTCATCAAGCTGAAGCCGCTGCTGTCCGAAAAGATGGACTGCTTAACGATGCGAATGCACTGCGAAGCGGAATGCCTGATCGGTACTCCGGAGAAGAAGAAGTTGAAATCGATGAAGGACGACCCTACCGAGCACAACGACTGCCTATTGGAGCTAGTGGAGAAGGGTGATGCCAGCTCGTTCCGCACGTTCTGCACCATCGTCGACGAGCAGTGCGTGTCGTACAATTTCACCGACGTGTCGCCAGTGTTGAGGACACTACTGGAGCGTGAGTACTGCCTGTTGTTCTGCGATATCGAGTCTGTGTACAGTAATAGGCCATTCACACGACGTGTAAACGCTTGCACGTGTGTGACCAAGATAACAACACTGGCAAACCGCGATCCAGTTCGCACGGTGCTGGGCAAACGTTGCACGCGTCAATATATCCATAGTACCTTCTTGAAAATGCCGGGAAATTTTAAAATTTCAATTTTCCTTTGTTCAAGCACTGCAGTTTTAGTACGCACTTTCAACAACCGACACTTTTCCTGGCCTGCAAAGATAATTGCGAGCAGAAGGGCCTCGACCAAGATAGAAAATCAGTTGCACGTGTGTGGCCAAATATATCGTATCCGTGTAAATATCTTTGGAACCGGCACGAAAAAAGTGAGTTTGCACGTCGTGTGAATGGCCTATAAGATAATTTTGTGTTGCTCCCAACGTGGGAGCTCACGCTATTCCATGTGACTTTCCATGTGAGAAAGTCACATGAGTTCGACGCAGTCATAAATATATAACTAGATCTGTTTGGCAGACAACGATTGCCTACTGAGTCTAATGTATATCTACCATAATATCCAGAGTGTTAGCGCACCCCGAGTTGGTGTAAGACTGCTCGCAGTTTGGGACGGGTGTAGTGGATGCGCTATTGTACAAATGCGAAGCTCTGCTTTTGTTTTGAGACCGTGGCACTTGTTTGTCGTTGTCAGGCATCGATCAGCCGTCATCATTTGCTGCACAACGTGAAGTGGGAAGTGCGCAACAAGACGACTTCAACCAAGGTACGCACAAACATGTAGCCGAACATGTGTTGTTGTTGTTGTTGTTGTTGTTGTTGTTGTTGTTGTTTCAAATCTTTATTCTCACGATAGCCAGTGGCCAATAAGAGATAATAGTGTAAGAAAGGAGAAAGAGTGAGGAAGAATTGGGTGGGCAGGGCCTAGGGGTTAATGACTACTTAAGTGTACGGGCAGGGGTGGTCGCCACACGAGCATACAGAGTTGCGTACTTAAGTGTACGGGCAGGGGTGGTCGCTACACGAGCATACAGAGTTGTGCAACAGCAGGGATATCTCGGATTTGAAGGGAGTACGAGAAGGGATTTCGCGAAGCTGGGTGGGCAGGCAATTAAAGTAATGAAGGGCCTTGTACAGGGGAGAATGGAGACAGCGGTCAGTCCGCGGAGTTGGCAAGTGCCAAGTACGAGAGCGACGTAAATTATACGAAGGTTGCACGTTGCTAGCAGTATGCAGCGAGAGTATATGTGGTGGGGCATAATTGTGGCGCAGAGAATGCGCGAAGAGTATATGTTTAACTTTAAAACGTGAAAATAATGTTGGCCATTTGATGCGATGCAAAAGGTGGGAGTGTTCTAAGTGTGTGTAAAGGGGAAGGTGGAGACATATTCTGGCGGCTTTCCGCTGGAGTCGTTCTAGCCTGTCAAGGGAAGTGTGGGACAACGGTGTGAGAGCAGTGCTCGCATATGAGAATATAGGTAGTATGTATGTCTGATAGATGTGAGATAAAGAATCACTGGTGAGTGTAGACCTTAGTCTAAAAAGAATATTGAAAGACTTGAGTGATTTTTTGACTATGTATTCAACATGCTCCGTCCAACGGAGGTCATGCTGAAAGATTATTCCGAGGTGTTTGTGTTTTTGTGCTACGGTAAGCGGACTATTCCTGAGGGTGATCTGGGGTAGCTGTTCAGGGGGGCGGTTATTGTGGTAGAACGGGAGGATGACTGTTTTCTTTGTGTTAACCAGCAGGTGCCATCTTTGAAGCCAGTCTCCAGCTGCTGTGACACTCTGTTGTAGGTTTCGGGTGCAGTCTTGAAGAGTTCTCGCTATGGAAATCAGAGCGGTGTCATCTGCAAACTGGCTACAGGTGGTGCCGGGATTCTCACATGCATGTGGAAGGTCTATGGTGTAGACGAGGAATAGAAGCGGCCCAAGAACAGATCCCTGAGGGACGCCGGCAGGGATCTCGAGGAAAGGCGATAGGTCGCCATCCACCTGGACCCTTTGCCGACGCCCCAACAGGTACCGTCGGAACCACTCCAGGGCGTTGCCCTGGACACCATAGTGGGAGAGTTTTGCTAGAAGGCCTGCATGCCACACACGATCGAAGGCCTTGCTTAGATCGAAAAAGCAGGCATTGACGTGTTTCCCGTCGTCTCTCGCAGTGGAGAGGGTATGGACGAGACGGGCGAGCTGCTGCTCAGTGCCGTCTTTCTCGCGGAATCCGGACTGCTGGTTGGGCAGGTGGGGTGTGATGTGCTTGTAGAGGAGTTGATGTGCAATTTTTTCTTGGATTTTTGATGTAGTGCTCAAGAGAGAGATGGGTCTATAATTTGTTGGTTGGGTTGGGTCACCCGGCTTGGGTACTGGAGTAATGGTGGCATCTTTCCACTCCTGTGGGATTTCTCCGGTTTGGAACGATAGATTAAAGAGGGACGATAACGACGGTGCAAGTTCCTTAGCCGCTTCTTTGAGGAGGCGGTTTGGAATAGAGTCAAACCCGGGGCTTTTGTTGGTATCAACTCCTCGGAGGAGTTTTTCGACCTCAGCTTGGGAAGTCGAGATTTCTTGAAGGGGACTGAGGATGTCAGGGGTGGTGTTGATGGCTGGAGTTTGCTCATCCGCATTGGCCACGGACAGCTTGCTCTGTGAAATGAAGAATTCGTTGAGGGCAGCGGCTTTTTGTGCTGGTGTCGTTGCAGGAGTTGCTTGGCTGACGAGTTCGGGTATGCGTTGTTTTGTAGCTGTAGTTAGGTGCTTCATGAGGCGGTGTAGGGAAGTAGAAGAGGCTGTTGAGTTGTTTACGAAATCCGATTTAGCACGACGCAGGAGGGTGGTGACACGGTTTCTTTGGGCAGTGAACGTGTTCCAGTCGTCAGGCGAGCGTGAGTGAAGGTATATTCTGTGTTTTCTGTGCTTATCCTTGATCTCTTTCAAGAGGCCCTTTGATATCCATGGTCGTGCTGGCACGTTCTTCCTGTCCCAAGGGGGGTGAGTGCGAGTAACTTGGCAGTGTTCTTGGGCGATGCTCATGACATTGTCACGCCAGGATCGCCAGAAGGTGTCAACTGGGCATGGGTCGTGTTGGTTTGGATGGTGGTTGAGATTTGTGCGTGAAAGGGCTTCTCGAAGAAGGTGGATAGTGCTGTCTGTCCATGACCAGAATGTGGTGCTTCTGGATCGTGGAGGGGAGTTGTTAATTATGGGGGGCAGTTGATTATTGATGTGGCCACTGATAGTAGTGTGATCGGATGCGCCAAACGGTGGAAGTGATTGGATATGAATATCATTGGTGTGGAATGAGGAGATAACAAGGTCTAGACATGAGAGAGGTATTTGTCGGTGGATGTAAGTAGGGAATCTGACATGTTGTGTGAGGCCGTATGTGTGTAGCAGAGTTTGTATGTCGTCCCCAAGGCGATCTGTTCTGTCTGTGGTGAGCCACGCACTGTTCTTGGCATTGAAGTCTCCAAGTAGTAGGAGGTCGTCACCTTCGGCTCTAGCGGTTTTGATGCTTCTTTCCAGTTCCGCACAGAAGAGGGTGCCATCGCTACGGGGTGGTCGGTAAATGTTTGCAACAACGAGGGAAAGGTTACCGGTGGATATTCTCGTCCATATGCATTCTGCTACTGTCATTGGTATTGTCAGTACCCTTGTGTTGAAACGTTCCGCTATGTACAAGGCAACACCACCACCATAGTCCTGTCTGTCAGCTCTGATCAGCTTGTAGCCTGGGATTGCATAGAGACTGTCAGGGTCTGATGTGTCAGCCCAGGTTTCCTGGACTGCAATGACTGATAGTTCGTTCTGAGATTCAGAGCACGAACGGGTAAAGGTAAGTAACTCGTCCATTTTGTTGAATATGCAACGCACATTGGTGCTGAGAAAGTTCAAATTCACTGACATTGGTATTGTGTTTTTTTTTGGGGGGAATTTTATTTATTTATTTTTATTTTTTTTAATGTTTTTGTCTTTTGGCTAGTTGTTGAAACTTATCTGGACTCAGTATTTCGGGTGTTTCCTCTGAGGGGAGGGCCATGTCCCATCGGCCTTGGCTTTCTCCTCCATGGTCGAATGGCCGTGGCTGTGTCGGCGACGACGAGGACCGCTGGGTATCCAATCCGCATCGTCAGAGGCAACCGTGGTGGCCCCGTCGTCGTGGCCTTCCCCAGTGCCTGTAGGCGGAGGGGTGCCGGACATTGGGGGTGTACTGGGAGCGATTACCTGCAAGCTGGAACTCTCAGCTACCTCAGTTTGGTCGACAGAGGATGGAGTATTGCTCTGTATTTCCTTGGATTCCCCGTCGCTGGTTGTGTTCTCAGACGCACTGGCGCTGTTCATTTCAGCGGTTTTCTGTGTTGCATCCTTGCTACTAGTACTAGTACTAGCAGGGGATCCGTCGGGTGCAGTGCTCACCTGTTCGGCCGCCCCGTGCGTACAGTTGAACTGTGCGCGGGCTCCCTGTTGAGCTGCGCTGGCGTACGAGTGTGAACCCTTGGGCTCTGTGCGCGTGCGTGCTGAGCTGGTGGATTGATTTGAGCTCTCGGGCTCCGCGCTGGGGTCCGTGTTTGTACAGCTACTACCTGAACTAGCACTCACAACAGCCTCACTACCTCCTGCATCGGGCGCACTTGTACCCGAGCTCAGTTGTGATCCAGGGAGAGCAGCCGAATTGGTGCTCTGTGTATTTGTGGGTGGTTTGTTCGTGGGCCGCTTGCTCGGACACGATCGAGCAAAGTGCTCCCCCATGCAGATCCTGCAGGTGGCCCTCTGGTCCTCGTGACGGACACGAAACTGGTGCTGGTCGGCTGTGCGGACAAATGACGGAACTTGCCGACATCCCTCCTTCAGCTCGATGGTGGCGAATCGCATACCTGTCCCTACAGTAATCCCCGACGGGGTTTGAATTTGACCATGGCGGATGTCTCCCTGGATCTGGCCAAATGCAGCCAAAGCACTGCAGATAACGGTATTCTCGATCCAGATCGGGACATCAAAGATATGGAGTTGTAGTTGTTTGGTGAATGCAGGGCGTACAGAGAAATGGCTGTCGCCGATAAAAAACCCGTGCCCCAGCAGTGCGTCAGTCTGCGTAGCAGATAATAACGTTACCTTTGTGAGGTTGGAATTGGTGATCTGGACGGAGGCGACGTCCGTGTACCCTTGGGTAACAAGGGCCTCGGCTACATCCACTGTCTTGATACCGGCGTGACTGGTGAAAACTACGGTGTTGGCCTTCATGTCTTCACGGGTAAGTGATTTCCATCGTGGCTCGCCATTTCGGGCAGCAGTACTAATGTTGCGCTCCATGGTTGGGGTCTGGTACCCCGGGTAAGCCTCAATCCGCAGAAATCTAGGGAAAAACTGGGAGCGCCAAAATCTGCTTCCTACTCCTACTCAACTTTTTGTTGTTGTTGTTGTTGTTGTTGTTGTTGTTGTTGTTGTTGTTGTTGTTGTTGTTGTTGTTGTTGTTGTTGTTGTTGTTGTTGTTGTTGTTGTTGTTGTTGTTGTTGTTGTTGTTGTTGTTGTTGTATACTTTATTTATATTGCAAATGTCGGTGTTGAATCCTTGAATTGCGAGGGGAGGAGAATCTTATTAACCCACTCAGCCCTAAGGACGTATAATTATAATACGTCGTTGAAAATGACGCCCAGGCGCTGATGACATATGCATACGTCCTTTTCAATGCCAAATATGGAGTGCAGAGCCTAAATGCCATGACCTATAGCCATAAATGGGTTAATTTATTTTGTACTTTAACCTGCATGCAGTGTCACGGTAATGGACATACACAGCATTGACACGAGAAATGTGGCAATTTGTCTCTGCGGCATTCTAAGATAATTCAAATGCTGTCACTGTGTCACGTGTTGGCGTAATTCCTTCGCATTATCCCCTTTGCGTATTGTGTGCCAGTATCACCTAATTGTAGGCCGAGCGTCATTCCTACTTCCTTATTCGGAGCAGCTTTCTGTTCTTTGTCCGCAGGGGCGTACATAGGGCGGTTCCCGGGATGCCCGGGAACCAGTAAAAAGAATTCGATGTGGGTACGGAGAATGTTTTGATCCAGGCCCAGCGTGCAGTGCATGCATGCCTAGGTGCCTGCAGTCCGCCTGGCGGTCCGAGGAGGGTGACAGGTGTAACAGTGCTGCTGAGCCTGGGGCATTTTTGTGACACAGCGTAGATATACTGAACTGACTAGGTGCAACAAAGTCTCTACATACGAGTTACATCGATTCTTCGATCTCAGAGTCATTTCCTTTGCAGTTTGTTTCGACAAAGTTGGTTACGTTTTTGACGATGCTTTCGCTTTGTGGAAAAGAAAAATGAAGAGTCGACATCCAGAGGGCCAGCGCTCTATTCAGACCTATTTTGAGCAGGAGGCAAAGCGTGTAGCCAGTGAGAAAGGTCAAGCGATAGATGAGATTGCGGACGCACCTGACTTGCAAGTGGAGTCTGCAACGAGCAGCACAGAGGACGGAATCGTCGGCGAAGCTATAGAGCGACCGTTGTTGGAAGATGCTGGATCATCCAAGACTTACTTCAGTGACATAGGAGTGTGTAAATAATTTGGGACCCTAAACTAGATGATTACCGGCTTCTGCTTGCCCTGCGTAATGTTTGCTCCAGATGATCCGAAGCTTAGGCAGCTTTACCGCAGTCCTCTCGAGAATATAACCCGACTCAAGACTGCATGAAATCGTCCTGCTGAACAAAACATCCATAAAAATGCCTTGGCAAAGTTCAGTCTTTTGAAATCAAATATGCGTAGCAGTGACATTATCCATCAATTTATGCAGAAACTATGTCGGATGCGTATAAGAGCACTAGCAATGGTGTGGAATGTTGGTTGATCAGTTGGCATGGGAACCACTCCTGGAGGCGAGCGGTGTACGCCCCTGGGGTGGATTTGCGCTCACAGCTCCGAAAGAAATTTATTCTCATTTCACTCCACCTTGATGGATTTTCATCATCCTGGGCTCCTTGGAAAGATCAGGACCAAGCGAATCCATCCTGGCAGCTCTCAGCTCCATAGACACACCAGGGCCACTTCCACCTCCTCTCCAAACGTCTCCACCGTGCCTCGGAACGGCACAACAACTCAAATTCACATTCTTGTTCGGCTTCTTGCCCAAATTCAACCGATTTTCACGATTCAAACTGCGCTGCAAAGCTGAGATCCAAGCGCTTCATTTGATGGCCATCACCCATGCGTTGTGCCAAAGGGAAATCCCCTGGCACGCTCCAAAAAAACTACGAAGTCATGAACAAAAATTCGCGCTCGATCTGGGCCGTGGTTTCCGTGTTCATCTTGTCCCCGCTCGGTGAATCTTTATGCTACCGCGAAGACCTTTCTATCCCCGGAAAGTTGAGGTCAAGACCTTTCCAACGGTGTATTTATTTTTTGCGGTGCGTTGATGTTTGGCAGAGCTACGACAGTTTGTACACTGATCTATGCACTGCGATTTATCGCGCGATTTTTTTGCGAGATAACTCGTACGTAGTGGATCAGCACACTTCAAAAGCGCGAGTTAACTCATACTCAGCACGCAAAGGGTTAATACTGCCGTGTGGATTGAACTCCAGTGGTATAGCCTAGGTCGACGCCCTTACTGCCGTGGCTTGTACGCATGCTGTCTAAGTTTACATGCACACTGCAAAAAAAGAACGGAATAGCAGCACTGGCGGTTGCAAGGCCAGCGCCTCGTGGCCGCTTGACGTCTGTTTGCAAGGCCAGCGCCTCATGGCCGCTTGACGTCTGGTTGCAAGGCCAGCGCCTCGTGGCCGCTTGACGGCTGATGCAAGGCCAGCGCCTCGTGGCCGCTTGACGTCTGGTTGCAAGGCCAGCGCCTCGTGGCCGCTTGACGTCTCAACGGGTTTCTATGTGCACAACAGTACATTGTTTGCCACCCAGATAGCCTGCCTGGTGTGCTGCGGGCGACAATTCCATGTGACGTTAAGGACGATATCGGCCAAGCTGTACTTGGTGTGAAAAGTCTGAAAAGCGTAGAATTGTACAAGTGTGTGTTGTGTTTTTCCGCTATTTTACATTTATTGCTGGCTCAGTATCCGAGTTAGAGTGTGTGTGTGTTCATAAATTTAAAAAAGAACTTTTTAGCTTTCGACTCACTACATGTGCTGTATCCTCTCTTGATCTACAGGCACTGGCCAGGAATCACGATCGTTTGAAGCTCAGGAAGAAGTCGGTTTCGATGCACGACTCGGTGATGCCTCTGCAGGTAATCTTGACATTAAATTGTCATACTCACGGGTTAAGGTTTGCACGGTAAGGAAGGTGTACTGCGTCTACGACTGTGGCCAACCTGTCGGAAGGCTACCTTCTTGCCAAAGCATTTGGAAATTTCGCTAGTTTCGGCTCCACAATCCAGTGTGTCGTTACTATAATAGTTTTCATGGCTGAGGTTGTGGAAACGTCTGTAGGTTCTGGGTTCCTAGTACTCAGTAGCCGAGGCTAGTTGGTAAAGTAACTCCAATCTCACTTCAAGGTACCAGTGCATCTAGTGTCTGCTTCTATCAAAGCAGTGTGCTGTCTGTACTGGTTACCCCAGCAAGTGTAGTGTGTGCATAGGTAACTGTCTTAGCCGTTTTATGCCGATGTACTCCGTGTGGTGTAGACTAGGGGTGCATTGGTGATCGATTCACATGGCTTTGCAGGTTGTGTGGATTGGACAGTTTTCTGGCGCTAGTCTTGATCTGTCTCATTCAGATCTTGTCCGCTATCGTTGCTATAAGAGAAAATCTGTGGGTGAACCTGATGGCTTCACCAGTTGTGTGGATTAGACAGTTATCTGGTGCAAGTCTTGATCTGTCTCATTCAGATCTTGTTCGCTATCGTTGCTATAAGAGAAAATCTGGGGGTGCACATCCAGTGCATTTGCAGATTTGCGTGCTTCTCTTGCGACGGGCGTATACCCAAGGAGTGAAATATGCAGGAATATTTGACTTATAAGAAGAAAGAGGGCCAAAGAGCGACAAGTTCCGCTATAATATCCACTAACACCACCGCTCTTTGATCCTCTTTCTTCTTATCAATCAAACCTTGGCCCTCCACCTGAGTCTGACTATTTGACTGCTTAGGCATAGCAATAATCAATGTGAGCCAATTCTATTAGGGAGTGATAGAATCATGTAGCCGATCATTGTGTTGCCAAAACGTTTCCATCAGTTCGAATAACACGCATGATGACCTACGCAAAAAAAGCACAGCGACATGAGCGTTCAAGCTCTCTCGTTAGTCTGTGCGGTGACGAGTGTGAAAAGGCATTAGTGTTTACTGTTGTTTGTGGACGCATCAGTATGTTTTGTTGCGCACCTTCATATGCGTGTTTCGGTGTCCGTGTGTTTGTATGTGTGTCTGTGTGTGTGTGTGCGTGCGTGCACGTGTGTGCTTGTGTGCGTGCATACGTGTGTGTTTGCGTATCTGTGTTTGCACCTTCTATCGTTACTAGATTCGTCCTCAGGCTCCTACTCAAGCTCTTCACGTCCACCGTCCTCGCATACGTAAGCAGGTTCTCTCACAATCCACAACTTGTGTTCCCTAGACAAGGGCTCCAAGGGCGTCGGACACGGTACGGACACTACGGTATTGACCGTACCACTATTTGCCCCAAGTACGCTGTGAATCAATAAAATGCATAGCCAGCAATCGCATGTCATCACGTACATTCAAAATCAACATAATTTTGCGAATCGACCTTTTTTTCAGGATCACTTTTCAACGAGGACGAAGCAAAGTCGGCCGAACGAAGCCTAGAGGAAGAAAATCACCCTCTCCACTTCACCATCACGATACTGACATAGATACGAGATGAAAGAACTAAAAAATCCACAAGAAAACTGTACGGCCATCATCGCGCTGACTTTGGTCTGACTTTGGTCTAAGAATTTCTATCACGATCAAAAATGTACGAGGAGCACTCAAAAATACGCCACAGACGTACCTTTATCGCTCTCTACTCCTTTTTCAAGGCACAAAAGTCGACTCTCCACTTTCAAACCAGGAACTTGACATACCAGTGGTCCTTTTCAGCTGCTCCACGAGCGCAGGAAATGTTCACCAAGGGGCGCAGAGCAGCATCCATTCCAGAAAAAGAGCTAAAATACGAGTGAGACTGCATGCCTGAGTACATGAGTACATGTATGAGTACATGCAGAAAATAGTCAATTTCAGCGTTTCTGCTCCAAACAGCAACTAGCTTCGACTAGAAACAAAGATTACACCAAAGGATCAAACAACAACCATTTTCTGCCGTTTTTTTGCAGATGGCTTCCTTGTGCTTGGCCCAGCACGTCAAAAATCACACCTCGGAGGAGTACAAAAATTACAACTCTCAGATGTCCTCGATTGCTGGCCATGCACTGATTTGGACTCTAAATTCCCAAACGTTTTGGCTCAGCCGCCCCTCTCCCCTCCCCCACAAGTAAATTGTACTTCAGATGGCTGACCGTACCACACTAAAATACCTTCCGACGCCCCTGGGCTCGAATATGTAATGACGCTTAACCCTTTGAGGGTCCATCGTTCGAATTCGAACGATATGTAGTGTGTACCGTAAAACTGTCGTAGCTTCATTGTTTTTAGTCCTGTTGCAAATATCGAAATAATATGCAGATCGAAGAAGAAGCTCCAAGCTTTCCAATGATGTAATCGCTTTTGCGATAGGAGAAACGATGATAAAGATATGGTGCTCGAAAGTTGGATCGCGGCACTAATTTGTTCAAACTGCTCAAAATCAATCTTTTGTCGCGTGCTTCGGGGATTCCCCGTGGATGACGTGGTGTGCAGCCAGCTCATGACGTGCAGCCGTAGTGACGTAGAATCTACTGATTGAGATGCAAAAAATCTAGAGCTGTGCGAGAAACGACTGCGAAATGGCCTTGGAACGAGATTTAGAAGTAATTATTTCACCACGAGGCCCGACCTTTGGCGATTCGCTGCGCTCTGGAGCAGGCTTTGTGGCAACCATGGAGTTGAGCGTGGCCTCATTGGATTGGCAGCGGAAAGAGCGTTTCAAAGAGCCCTAGATTGTCAAAATCAAGCGAACAGAACGTAAGTTATGGTGGAAATGGTGGAGTGAACTACAATTGTATATTTTCACCCGAACGATGGACCCTCAAAGGGTTAACCGATCCTTATCCTGGCAAAACGGATTGGATGCAATGCTGGAAAAATTCTGTTACAGGTCTACCCTTATCAGTTAGATAATCCCTGCGCTTACAATAGGTGTGTCCAATACGTCCGTTGTGCATTGCCAAATATGGAAGGTATGAGTAATTCGTGTGAGCACGGTGGGATCAGGAATGCACTGTCAGGGCTTACCACGACCATACAAAATTCGAAAAGCGTCGACCACCATTTTGAAAACATGGCGATGCCGCCGAGGCCAGAGTTTGTGCAGTCATAGCGGCTACGCACCCGAGTTCATGCTGATCGATGTACAGCGATGTACAGTCTAGTCGTAAAATACCTGTATTTTACGACTCCCTGGTCTACTCTGTACAGCGAAGGGCCAGTGCCGAAGCGAATCTTGTTGTTTGATGTTGGGAAAGACACGCAGAGAAGACGTCCTTTTTCCAAGCCATCTTGGTCATTTTTCTCAACCCGCTGGTGGGTGTCAACCAAGATACAATGTATGTCCTTGAGGTACTGATGAACTGGAGTCCTGGCATCTACAAGAATTTGCCGCGCCTAGCTAACCAATGTTGTCAGCAGAACTCAGCGTTTCCTGATCGCGACTCAGCACACTCTTTTCTGTTTGGCCTCGCAGCTTTCACGCTGCGAGTGGGGAGTTTCCTGGCCACAAATGAATCCCTTAGTCATGACCATGATGAGAGGTGACTGGTATGATCCCTGACTGGCATGAGTCCTGAGCTTGAGTCAACACGAAGGTAAACTCTTCACTTGGAACGCTTGCTGTCTCCTCCGTCCTTTCTTGTTGCAATTGCAGATATGCGCACGGCTGCCAGTTTTTTTTGGTGCGCGCGGCGACGCACGGCCGACCTTGATGTCTTCGAAAAAGTAGAACAGCGGTTATCCTTGGCCGATTCTCATCATCGATAGCTCATTTTCAAGGTCTTGGAATTCTCTATCGGTTTACCGTCCCCGATTTCTAATTTTCTCTCCATTCACTTGTTCGCACGCCTTCGCGTTTGAGTGATTTCACCATCCGATCTCAGCCAAACGAAGGCCAAATCGAAAAATTCGAGATGGTAACCCTCCAAAGACACACCTTCTGAACACGAATCCACAATGGCCTAATGTCTCAAACCAACGAATACAGCCAAGTCCCACTCAGAAAACACCCCACAATTGCAAGAAACAGCCCGTTTTGCTGTGCGCTGATTGGTCAAATCCAAATGACCGTTAGTGATGCTTTGTACGGTCGTGGTGAGCCTTGACTGTTCAAGACCCCAGGCGACCATGCCCAGGTGGCTCTGTGTGGGGTGTTTATGGTACGAATTACGTCATTGCGCAATGGGCCTATAACTGGCATTATCTACTATCCTGACTTGCACGTACGACTCTCGAATCCATCTCAGGCGCCAGGGGATATTGCATCGTTGTCTACTAATGACATGTGTCTTGTAACCAATGTCGTACTAACGACAGTAGACCTGTAGACCTGTACACTTCCATTCCCGCATGTAGCGAGTACATGTGCATTTTACACCGTCTATCAGGAATAGTGCACTACTCTTTCTAATCGAGTGTCTGGAGTTGTAGTTTGACAGAGTGTTGGTTGCTGTTGCCAGCTACCCTTCGTGGCCACACTGTTCATTCCGATACAAGCCATGTTTTTTACTGGCAAACAAAATACAATTCAATCCGTCATCATGAAGGATTACGACACACCATCGTTGCCGGTGGGTGTCTGGGTGGTTGAGTGTGGGTATGTGGGTTTGTGGAGATACGTCCATTTTGTTATGTGATTATGTCTGTGCATACTTGTTTTAGGCACCGTCTCATCAACGACATCATTGATATTTACGCATTTGGAGAAAAGGCTGCCAAACTGATGGGTGATGCAACCTGTGGTAGGGAGACTGGCATGCACCGTGATTATGTATCTGCACGTCTGCTCTGTGTGTGTGTGTGTGTGCACGTGTGTGTGTGTGTGTGTGTGTGTGTGTGTGTGTGTGTGTGTGTGTGTGTCTTGGCCATCCTATTCCGATATGCTCCGCGGGGTGTACACCAGGCTGTGTATAGGTGGTCGATTCACATGGCTTCGCTAGTTGTATGGATTGGCTAGTTACCTGACACTAGTCTTTATCTGCATGAAGTGTATTACCGAGTGAGCCCATTCAGCAATCTATCAGACACACCTACTCGTGTAGAAATGCGGTCAACGTTGTGACTAGCGACCCTCGAACGAGCATAAGAGAAGTGTTGCTCGTGTTATTCATCAAGTTCAAAGTCGCTGTTATGCCGTCACGTGGCCATTAGATCTGTCTGTTCCGCTATTCGTGAGTAACATAACAGATATCCCAGGTCGTTACTGACATGGTTGCTGGGTTTTCAGGCTGCGAGAAGTAGAAATCACTGTGCAAGTTAGTTTGGTCAGGAAATGTGTGACAGCGTGACGGGGGGGGGGGTTCTGGGAGACGCACTTCCTGCCCAAACTAACCTTCAAAGCACTTTCTACTTCTTGTTCATGTACTATTTTTCTCCCCTTCTGGTTTCAGATAAGCTGGCACGGTTGCTGGTGAAGGAGAAGAAAGACCCGGTTGACAACTACGCGGATCTGGTGCTACGCCACATCAAGGTGCACAAGCATGGCGTGGAAGAGTTGTACAACGTTGGCGGTGTTCTCCTCTACTTTGCCGATCAGAATCCCGCGCCCACGTTCGACGAAGTTGTCGTTGTGTTGAAGGACGCCTGTCCCGGAAAGGTCGATGCAGTTGAGAGTCTGTGGAAGTGAGTACACATCCAATAGCGTAAGGGGTTGAAGGTAGTAGGGGGGGGGGGGGGGGGGGATACCGATCCAAACCAATATTGTTGTTGTTCTCGTCTCTCTCTCTCTCTCTCTCACGTCTCTCTCTTTCTCCCCCCCCCCTCTCTCTCTCTCTCTCTGTCTCTGTCTCTCTCTCTCTCTCTCTCTCTCTCTCTCTCTCTCTCTCTCTCTCTCTCACGTACTAAATTTCTCACTCGGTCCCTTTTGCTTACCCTATCAATATCTCATTCTCTGTCCCTTCCTCTTGCTCTCTCAATTTTTCAGTCTTGGCTCTTACATTCTCTCTCTCTCTCTCTCTCTCTCTCTCTCTCTCTCTCTCTCTCTCTCTCTCTCTCTCTCTCTCTCTCTCTCTCTCTCTCTCTCTCTCTCTCTCTCTCTCTCTCTCTCTCTCTCTCTCTCTCTCTCTCTCTCTCTCTCTCTCTCTCTCTCTCTCTCTCACTCTGTATTTCTTTGTCATTTTGTCTCTGCTTTCACTTTCTCTGTCTCTGCCTCTGTTATTTTCTGTCTCTCTGTACCTGTATGGCTATCTCTCTGTCTCTGTCTATCTCTGTCTCTCTTTCAGGGTCCCTATGCTTTCTATTTGAAGTATAGATACCTGTTAACCATGGACTGCTTCTGGCTAGATTACCTCTTATGTAGTCATGGTGCTAGTGAAGCCTTTATCTGATCCACTATGATTTACCCACCCACAGTAGCCACCCACCCTAGTAGCAAGCTCTCCCAGCCACCTAGTATCATTTTGTTGTTGTTTTGTCTTCGGTTTTGGTGTTGTTTGTGTTTGGCAGTAAAGCTGAGTTTTCAGCACGGAGTGATCCTGAGAATGGTGTTAGGAAGGCTCGGTGTTAGTGGATCACCGTCAGGAGTCAGCTGTGAGCCTCGCCATGGCGCCGGTACACACGCGGCTCGACATCGTCGTTCGCAGTTCACGTGCAGATAGGATGCTCGAAGCGTTGGTTTGTCACATGACATTGGCTCGTTGGAGCATCCCGGTGTCGTTGTATGTGCTACGCTTGGCTGCGCATCCATGCACGTCATACTGTGTCAACCCCCCCCCCAGATTGGTGAACTGCTACTCTTCTCTCTTGGAGCCTTGGCTCTCACATGCATAGAACTACATAACTGGTTTGACTCCCGCGTGGGTGCAGACTTCCACGGGGGTGGGGGTGGGGTGATATTGGGCATTTGGCTTCAATATTTCTAGATTTTCTGATGCTCTACACACATTTTCTTGAATAAAAATCTGACACTTCCTTTGATAGATTTTTATTTACTTTCCCGTTCTAACTTTCCCTCACACTTTGAACAGTATGATAATGTATTAGAAAAATAGAGGCCACATGCATAATGATAATGAGAAATTTTACTAGGGCTGGTGTCAGAGAATCACATTTTTTGAATATTTCCTTTCATCACTAACTTGTAGATCTAAAGCGATTACAACGGTCAATTGAGTACGAAATTACAGTAAAACCTGGCGACCACCCACGGTGCAAGCAAAAGCGGTCGGTCGTTAAAGCCAGGTGATCTTTAAAACCAGGTCCCACAGTGTCTATGTAGAACTGTCGGTGCATGGAGAACGGTCGCTAAGAGCAGGTGGTTGCTAAACACAGAGGTCGCTTACACCAGGTTTCATTGTAACTTTATCCAGTGTGTGAGGTAATGGAAGCGGGGAACCAAGTCTGTAGAAAAATTGACAATTGCAATTGCTCGCATTCCACATTGAACTTTGGCACATGTATGCAAGCTGCTGGTTGAATGCTATGTGTGAGGTATTTTTTACCTCCTCAAGCCTCCTGCATGTGGACAAAGACACCAATGATCACGTCAAAGGAAAAAGAAGTAAGGAGCACTAAGAGCAGTGCAATGCAGAGTTGGAGTGCGGCCGCCCAATAGCGGACTGAAAACTACTACACTTGTAGGATAAAAAGGGCACAAACGAAACCAATAAGGACAAAACCAGAGGCAAATGGTATCAAATACGTATGCCCGCCTCAGCAACCGCCAAAGTGGGAGGTGAGTCCAACTGCACCGGCGGAAGATTCCGGGATCAATGTGTGAGAATAGCGTGAAGATTGCATATACATTGTACTCAATCCGTGGACAGAACTGTTTCGTCCTTTGTGGACTCATCCGCGCAGTATTGTATTATTGTTACGTTCTCATTGGTGGACGAACATACAACACAACGTAAACCTTTTAAAAAATTGCAAGAAGGCGAGATCTCGAGAATAAGGATGCCACTGGAAAGCCTTATTTATATATTAAATTTATTTCACTCAACTCGTGGTTCGTGACCAATTGGCAGGCAAAGTGCGAGAGAGAGATGATAGCCAACCACGGCAAGAAAAGAAAAGAAAGGAATAATATAGAAAAAGAGAAGAAAGAAGGATAGACAAGAATCCAGCAATGAGATCCTATCGTACTACAGTATGCGATCGGAGTGCATTTTTAAAGCTGGAAAGACATTTTGATGTCTTATTGTTGTGCGCAGTGAGATGATGTTGCATTGTTCCTCGTGCGCAGGCGAGGCGAGACTCACGGCCGAGATCTGCCAACGCGACAGGCTCGGTTGCCTTTCAGGGTTCAGATCTCCCTGCCCGCCCTTGCAAGCTTGATGGGCTGTATACAATGACCATTCCCTCGCGTATCTGATATGCGTGATATACAATGTACGTATCGGCGTACGAGGTGAGCAAAGGAAAGAATAGCCGTTTTTTATTTTTCATTTTATTTTTGAAACTCGGACGTTGAGCCATTAATAAATGTAGAAAGGAAAAGGACGAGAGTAAATATAATCATACAGTCAGTCAGAAAGTGCAATAACTAGCTTTTGCTCGTTTTCGTTGCGCTTGCGTTCCCCTCTTTGGTCTTTTCATAACCTTGAACCATTCAAGTCAGTTTGGTGCCTAGTTATTGCGCTTTCTGACTGTATATAGTATCATGTTACAGTGATGGAGAGTTACTCTTAACTCGTATCCATAATTATGTCCTTTTCCTTTCTACATTTTGTTATTTTTATTTTTTACAGGAACGTTTACTCCGCTTTTCTTTAAATCTAATTTATATCAAATATTGACTTCAATAATGGAATCGGATGGAGAAAGGATAATATCTATAGTAAAGAAAAAGGACCAAGAAACTACAAGCTACGCTATAATGTCCACTAACACCGCCAGTTACTAAACGATCAGCTCATGCGATAACATTGCACGACACTGACCGACAGTACTGGCGTTCTACAACTAACTGGCTTACAGCTCTAGCACATCTTGGATGCGCACTCCAATCCAGTCATCGACATGCAATGAACATCCGCCAACGTCCTTCACAGCTTAGACTTTCAGCTCGTGCTTGTCTAGGTTGCGCTGACCTTCCCCTCCCCATGATATTTCTATAGCTTACAACCTTCCAAGTTCGAACAGCTAGCACAATACTGACTGACGTGATAGTGACATTCAACGAGCTGATGATAAGCTCTATCACGTCTTGGATGCGCAAACCAACAGCCTTCCAAAGTTAATTGCTTATCTCCGATAACCATGACTAGATGAGCCTCCCAAGTTGGGTGGTCGTTGTGTCGCGTTCTCGAAGTGAGTCGTGGCCGTCCTGTGCCGCGGTCCTTCGTCTTTCGGCACCATCTCGTCAAAGCCAACATTCTTACTCTTAGTTATGCTGTTACTTGTATGTTTTCGTCTTGGGTGCGCTCACCTTCCTCTTTCTCATGTTCATAACTTCGAACTTTCCAAGTGGGAAGACTGTTGGTTTGTGCATCCAAGACGTAAGAGAGCTTATCACAGCTCATAAAAAGCAACTGATATGCGAATGTGTTTCTCCTTGCAGCAAAAATATGCTACATTTGGTACAATATGCTAGATTTGGTTCTTCATGCGACCTTGAGTCAAAAGGACCAAAATATACGAAAATATGCGCAAGCAGTATCGGGCCCTCCCTAAAATATGGAAAAATGGAACAAAAGTCAAAACTACGCATAGCAGATGAGAGAAAAATATTGATAGGTGTCGAACTATTCCATTCGCGAAGTATCCTTATACCCAAAGTCTCATCATGTGTACTACAGTTAGATTTGACTAGTCTTTGCTCTGGGAATGGACATTCTGTCGTTATTTGCGAATTGTCGCTATATTCCGCAGTCGTTATTAGCGAATTGTTGCTATATCCGCAGTCTTTATTAGCGAGGTTGACTGTACATGTAGCCTAGAACTCCCCGAAATGTTTTGATGCAAAGTGATTAATACACTGATTATGACCCTCATCATTCGCTCCCTTGTCACTGGACAGTTCTGTCCGTTTGGTTTTTACTTTACTTAAATAAAGAAAACAACAACAACAACAACAACAACAACAACAAGGGAACCCCTAAGAAGGCCTTAGGCCTGTGGGAATGCCCTATTAAAAAATAAATAATAAATAATAATTTGATAACCGCAATCAATAATAAATAATAATAATAATAATAATGTGGAAGAGAAAAGGACATATGGATACGAGTTAAGAGTAACTCTCCATCACTGTAACATGATACTATATACAGTCAGAAAGTGCAATAACTAGGCACAAAACTGACAGAGTACTGAAACATTCGACGTCCTGACACCTAGCTTCAACACATCTCCGTAGCGCTAACCGACAGCCTTCCAACTTGGAAGGTTCAAGGTTCTGGAAAAGACCAAAGAGGGGAAGGCAAGCGCAACGAAAACGAGCAAAAGCTACAGTCCCAACGGAACAAATAATGTCGATTGTTTCTGGACGATGACGAGACCAGTACGATATTTGACAAAGCGGTCTAACTACAATTCGAAGCAGCAAAGCAGCACACCACCCAACTTGGGTGGGTCATAATTAATATCAAAGATAAGTAAAGAAAGGGAAGCTTTGAATGTTTCAGTACTCTGTCAGTTTTGTGCCTAGTTATTGCACTTTCTGACTGTATATAGTATCATGTTACAGTGATGGAGAGTTACTCTTAACTCTAATTATGTCCTTTTCTCTTCCACATTTATTTATGGCTCAACATCCGAGTTTCAAATTGCACAACTGATGAGCCGTCACGAACCATACGGCGAAACGTACGTCGTGTGAAACAACTTGTTTTGTAGTCAACTATTCCATCACAATGTCATGCATGAGGAGTACTGTAGGAGTTTGGCTTTCGGCTTGTACAATTCGTTTTCGCAAAGCTTCCCTTTCTTTACTTATCTTTGATATTTATGACCCACCCAAGTTGGGTGGTGTGCTGCTTCGCTGCTTCGAATTGTAGTTAGACCGCTTTGTCAAATATCGTACTGGTCTCGTCATCGTCCAGTAACAATCGACATTATTTGTTCCGTTGGGACTGTAGCTTTTGCTCGTTTTCGTTGCGCTTGCCTTTCCCTCTTTGGTCTTTTCCAGAACCTTGAACCTTCCAAGTTGGAAGGCTGTCGGTTAGCGCTACGGAGATGTGTTGAAGCTAGGTGTCAGGACGTCGAATGTTTCAGTACTCTGTCAGTTTTGTGCCTAGTTATTGCACTTTCTGACTGTATATAGTATCATGTTACAGTGATGGAGAGTTACTCTTAACTCGTATCCATATGTCCTTTTCTCTTCCACATTTATTTATGGCTCAACATCCGAGTTTCAAATAACAATAATAATAATTGGTAACAGTTTCCTCTGAGACAAAAATGCGATAATACTCATAAAAAGGACACACTTCAGGCTCATTACAAACATCTTGAAAGTTTTTGTCTTCACAAGTATACTTTCAAGCCTTCTCATCAGGTGAAATACAGGCAAGGGAAAAGGAACAGGAACAGTGGATTAAATACAGTAAGAAGGTGGTAAAACAGCGCAAAAAAAAGAAAGAAAGAAGATAGCTAAAGTAAACAGCGAAAATTGCAATAATGACACAAAGGTGCAAATGCGAGAAAACTCAATAAGCGCGACATGTAGTGCGACAACAAGAGACAACCACTGGACATACATGTAACTAACGAGGTTTTGACGACCTACCTAACAGCCTAAGTGTGAATTTGATTTGTTTCTGCTTGCAAAGGTTGGGTTTCCTTGTGTGGATGTATACAGCTTTCCTTATTCCACAACACGCACGATCCACTCGACCACGGAGGGGACGTCCAGCAAAGAATCATCCTGGTACAAGATGGTCCAACGCAGCGGCATCAACACCAAGCAACGTCACCTCACAATTAACTAGACCACCAGAAAAACAACCGGACAAGACACCTACTGGCGTGGCAGTGACAGGAACCGCATCAACCAGAAGAATGACAAGATCGGCAACGGCGGCGATGGCAGCGACTAAAGTACAGACAGAGGTAACGGCTAGGGTCCACTCGACTAGCCATGTGAAATCGGATGTGTCCACCGCACATGCTGATTGTTCTGATGTTAGTTCTGATAAGTATGAGTCGTCCATTGCTAGTCATTTGTTTGAGCATCCTGATTGTCGTGCTGTGTATTCAGATGATTGTTTTTCGATTGT